AAAGAAGCCAAAAAATTCAAAATGGAGTTTCAAATGGGCGTAGAGATGCAAGTACAGCACAATGCACCGGCTGAAACTGCAAAATACTTTAAAAAGACAGCAAAGACGAATGCAACCGACCAGATATAGAAGTGATGGCAAGATAAACCACTTCATGGCCAATACTCTGCCCGTACCAAACAAGCTGACGTAGACAAAACCCGTACTCATCAGTGGCTACGTAGCGCAGGGTTGAAAGCTGAAACTGAAGGTTTTATCCTTGCTACACAGGACCAATGCTTGCTAACTAGGAATTATCAAGCACATATACTAAAATATTGTGTCAGCCCAAAATGCAGATTCTGTGATAAATATCCAGAAACGATTGATCATCTTGTATCAGGTTGCATGATATTTGCACCCACTGAATATAAAACCCGGCATGACAGAGTGGGCCAATATCTGCACTGGAAAATCTGCAACTTCTACGGGAAGGAAACTGAAAGAAACTGGGATGAACACCACCCAGATCCGGTTACGGAGATAGGACCTGTTACATTTCTATGGGACTATACAATACACACTGACAGAACGAACAAAGCCAACCGCCCAGATATTGTTATTAAAGACCACAAACAAAAAAGTGCCTCCTTATTGATATGGCAGTCCCTTCTGACTGCAATGTATCTTTGAAGATATTCAAAAAGCTGTCAAAATACAAGGACCTTGAAATAGAAATCTCGAAATGTGGCATATGGGAACATCAACAATCCCTGTTGTAGGACTGGTTGGAAAAGATTGCAGTAGACTAATTGAAGGGATTCCTGGAAGTCCATGCCTCAAGGAGATACAAAAAAATTGTTCTGACAAGTACAGCCCATACTTTACGAAGGGCTTTATCTATGTAATTTTTTTTTGTCAATGGAAAGTGTCATGATGCCATTTCTAACCTTAGGTCCCTGGGCGGGACCCGGAAAGAAATGTGTAAACGCCAGAAATCAAAGGAAATAATAATAATAATAATAATAATAATAATAATAATAATGTAGAAATCTTAAAAATGTCATCAATAATTTCAGTTGTAATTGGAGCCCTCGGATTGATTGGAAAAGGCTCCGATAGATTCATTGAAAGGATTCCTGGCAGCCCGTGCCTTAAAGAAATACAAAATATTGTACTCACAAGTACAGCCCGTGCATTACGAAGAGCCTTATCTATGTAAAATGTGTTTGATCATAGTATTATTTTTTTGGCAAAAAATGATCAATGAAAAATGACATGGAACCATTTGATGACCTAAGATCTCTAGTTGGGACCCGGAAGGACATTTGTATACAAGAGAAATTCAAGGAAATAATAATAATAATAATAATAATAAGAAGAAGAACAGGGTTTCTATAGCCTTGGATGGCAACTGGTCTACCACAGAAAGAAATGTCAACATAGTGCGCCAAAAAATCTGCCTCGTCAGTCATGTATCGAACGATACATGATCGTCTAAATCTGTATCACGTTTGGCACATAACTGACTATAATAATAATAAATGCTCTCGTGTTGATTAATGTTAAAACTTGAATAAAGCATGGAATAATAATAATACAACACAAAATGTACTTAAACAAAAATGTATTGACACAAGAACGTGTACACAATATTTACAGATAGTTGGTATATTCTTGGGAAGACCGTTCCTGTAGAATGGGTTGACTTAGTCGCAGTCGGGCAAAATCTCTGGATTGAATCTCTTGATTCCTTCCTCGTCTTCCCGGTACCAACCATATTTATATGGTCGGTACTCCACTATGTAAATTAGGTGGATCCTACCACAACAATTAATTAATTGTCACATCTTATGAACTTCTCTAACCTTGTAATAATAATAATAATAATAATAATAATAATAACCAGTCTTCAAAGATAGGTAGAAACCACAGAAGCATGGATGATGATCTATGTCTAAGGACATGAAAGAAGTAAGAAACTAGGAAGTTCGAGTGGATGAAGAAAGGCAAGTAAACCATATTAAACCTACTGCAACGGCAAAGAACCTAAGAAAAGGAGAGAATAAATTCATAAACCTTTTCATGGCCAATATACAGCCCATGCCAAAAAAACATATGTAGACAAACCCCATTTCCATTCGTGGTTACGTAGTGCAAGATTAAAAGCAGAAACAAGAAATTTTATTCTTGATTCACAGGATCGATGCTTTCTAACTAGAAATTACCCAGCAAAGATACTGAAATATTGTGTTAAACCGAAATGCAAATTCTGTGATGAATATCCAGAAACAATTGACCATTTTGTATCAAGTTGCACGGCATTAGCATCCACCGAATATAAAACTTGGCATGATAGGGTAAGCCAATATTTGCACTGGAAAATATTCAACTTTTAAGGGAAGGAAACTGCATGAAATTAGTATTAACACGAACTAGACTTGGTTACAGAACATGGGACCAATAACAATTTTTTATGGGATTTTATAATACGCAAATACAGAACAATCAAAGCGAAGCGCCCTGATCTAGTGATCAAAAACAGAATATGGTTTCTTATTGACATGGCAATTCCACAAAGACATCAATAATTCCAGTTTTATTGGAAAAGAGTCATTGAAGGGTTCCCCGGTAGCCCATGTATTAAAGAGATCTAAAATATTGTTCACAGAAGAAAAGCTCACACTTTACGAAGGGCTTTATCAATGTAAAATATGTGTGATCTTCGGTTTACAAAAATGTTCCGTGAGGATCTTAGGTCTCTGGTTGGGACCCAGAAGAAAATGAGTATACTACAGAAATCAAAGGAAATAATAATAATAATAATAATAATAATAACAATAATAATAATAATAATAAATAACTTAATGCCACATCAGGAATAGCTCTGACGGTTTTTGATTTTAATTAGCAGTGTTACCCTGTATGCATTTTAATTTGCTGAATTAAGATGGTCAACAATAAATATTGATTGCATCTCCACCGATTTGTTTGCTAGCTTCTTGATCGTAACCATTTGACTATGTCCAGTAAACAGCGACGAACGGTATATCTCTATTTATGAGTGAGGGTAGTTGTTTTTTTTTAAGTTTGAAGGATGAGGCAACCAAGGAGACTTGGCAGACAAATCTATATATTTGAGAACAACCCAAATTTGAGACTGTATGAGCGGACTGGGTTAGCCGACTTGGAACGTGATTAACTGGTTTTTATCAAAACCCGTTACCAAAACACACATGTATGTGATGTGACTGGTATGATGGGTATATATATATATTTAATCAATTCACCCCAAGCAAAGCGATAACTCCACTAAAAAGCAAGGGAGCTACTGGAAGTGAAAGAGTAGAGAAATACATTAGAAGGGGCCATTCACTGAAAAATAGTACAAATTTCAGGGTTTAGGCGTTGGCGTTAGAAGTATAGAGTTGAAGTAGATTTTAAAAGAAACCGTTATGCCAATCCTAAAATAAAGAAACAAGGGATAAACCTCTACTCCTGTCCAAAAAACCTAGGATGAGTGCGAACCTGGTGATAGGAGAGCCTATCTTAAACCTATATTGGATTTCATATATTCGTGCACTAGCGTCACTCTGTTAGCGAGCTGCTTTTTGATTCAAGAATAAAAATGAAGGTGATTATGATAATGATGATCGGTAAATATCTGTATTTCCCCCAGGGAACCAATATCTTATGGAATATGAAGGCAAGTGTTCTATCAGCTGGAGAGTTCGGAATGATTCGGAAGAGTCTTGAAAACGGAAGAGGAAAAAAAAATAAAATAAAATAAAGTCAGAAAAGACAACGTCAAAAATATGGCGTCTAGTTCTGATTATTGAGTAGACTTACTGCCGATTGATCCGTAGAAATATTCACCAGATATTTGTTCTCCTTGAGAAAACCCAAGAAGTACAAATAATAATTGTTATGAGAAGAAAATTGGAATATAAAGGACCAAGAATCTGTTCGCAGACAGTGAAAGAAAAACAGGCAACGATAAAAATTAAGCTTAAGGACAAAAAAAAAAAAAGAAAAGAAATGAAAGAACAGAAAAAAAATAAGAATAGAAAATAAAAAAAAAGAATAGAGAATTAAAAAAAACAACAAAAAAAAAACCGAAAATTCTGTGTAGGAGAAAACGAATAAAAGTTTAGTAATATAACAATTTATTTTCTTTTTGTTGTCTTCAAAGTCTGCCAACAACTCTCCATATTTCCGTCTTTTCGACAACATTCATCCCAGAACATCATTTAAGGAAATGGAATGTCCGCGTTGTCATAGTAACACTTCTCCAACAACGTCCATCATCGCTGGACAGATGAGTCCTATATACACGTTAAACTTGCGAGACGGCGTCTTATTAATTAAAACAGAGAAGCGATAGCAAACGTTTATTACCGCCACTTTTGTCGTGTAATTAAAATCTCGAGAGTTTTATTTTTAGATTTTCTTTACTCATTTTTGCTTTAATTTCTTTATTAATTTGTTTCTTAAGTGAAACGCATTTACTTTCTTTCGCCTCTTATATTTTTTTTATAATTACCTCCTTATATTTTACAATTCTCGATTACTTTTATCTTACTGAATTTATTCATTCTTTTACTTTTGATCTTTTCTTCATTTTTCCTACCGTTTCTCATATTTATTTTCACTCTTTTTCTCTCAAGTTGCGGTCTTCCATTTTTCCTTACATCTTTTTCTTTCTTGTTTACTGTTGAAGACCTTCATTGTTTATATCTTTCATTCTAATCATTCATACTCAATTAAGTTATCGCTTTCTTTTCTTTCCTTTCTCACATCTTGTTGTTTTTTTTTTTTTTTATCCCTTCTTCCATTTTCATCCTTCTGACATCGTCTTCTATAACACTTTCCTTTCCTCTCTTTCATCAGTTTATTGTTTTTCACTTCTTACCCCGGATCTCTTTGATGTTCTTTTCTAAAAATATGCTTTGAAGAATGCAAATTCATTCATCTTAGATAAGACCTCTTTATGGTTTTAGATCGACCGCATTTTCGACAGCATGATTCTTTCAAGCTATCAGGACATCATTATAATCGACATTCCTTTTTTTTCTGCTTCTTTTGTAGGTCAACCGTGATATTAAGAATGGGAATTAAATCCAGTCGGTTTTCCATGTTTCGTTTTTTTTTAAAGAAATTTTTAATGAATTTCATTAAAAATTATTATATAAAAACTAATTTCAGTCTGGCTTTGAGTAATAAAGAATGTACTAAACGATGGCATTTGCCAGTTTAGGAGAGATTCTAATGACTTATTTTCTCTGCCAAAGGTATTTTACAGGGAACAGATCGTCGCAGCTTTAGATATTATTACAAGGGACACTGTTTTGCATATCTCTAATAAATTTTGATAAATTTTCTAAAAGTCTATAAAGAACAGGAACATTTGGAAAAATGCAGTAATTTATAAACCACCACAGACATCACTAAATTCCTTTACTCAGTCTTTTTATAATAGATATCAATCTTATTATAATAGATTACTATTATAGAAGCTATAATTTGAAGGCATATTGTAAATGAGTTAAGACTGATCAACATATTTTCTGCTAGCATGTGCAAAACTATAATATATTCTTGCGCACTGCAGAGCATGCGTTTTAATCTTTCTATTTTGCTGCACTACGGTTGCCCGTAATTTTTTTATATACTTATCAGTACATGTTTACTGACGGCTTCTCACAACGCCCTCTTTTTCGTAGCTCTCAGCTATGTTTGCCCCTTATTTTCCCTACCACGCCTTCTTCTGTTATCCATTTACAAAAACTCGCTAGTTAGCTTACACATTGTTTCAGTGTCTCTCTCTCTCTCATTTACCATAACTATATCCTGTAAGTGTCAAATTCTCCAAGCTCATCTTTCTCGCTATATATCTCACAAATTTTCTCTGACTATAAATAAAAGTCTCCATTTTATTCGCATTTCCTTAGACTATGCTAGTAGCTCACGTAATCCGTCCGTAGTATTCTCAGCATCCTTCTGAGGACCATATACTTGTTGCCTCAATCCTCCTTTTCATCTGTGATGAATGTGTTCAGCTTTCACTGTCATATAGTTATATTGATATTACATAACATTTCAACACATTTTTCTTTATTCCTAATGAAATTTTCGGATTTCCCAATATTTGTTTAGCTTTTGGAAGACATATTTTCGTATTCGAATGCAATTTCGTATTTCTGTGAGTTTATGACATGGTTGATAGATTATAGGGGATATTCATAGTAACAGTAGTTACTGGCTTGTAACTTTAAAAACATGTGTTTTTAAAAATAATCTTTTGTTGTTTCTCCTTCGTATAGTCACACGCCCTAACGGAGAAGTGCTCATCTCCAGAATAAACCTAGTGAGTCTTCAATAGGACTTACTTTCGTCCGCTCTCGGAGACTGCCGCAGCAGAATGAAAAACACAGATCCTTATCAGATAACAGAAACCACATCAGTAGAAGCAATGTGATAGGTCCTGATCTAGCATCTAGTCTGCAGTAGCTTTCTTACAGGTGTGCCGTGGTTTCTGTCTGTCTCTTCTATAAGTACATGGTGTTTCAAAAAATTTGATATCGTTTGAGATGTAAGTATCACAGAAAGTACATGATTAAGGCAAATGAAATTAAAAAGTATTAATGTTGAAGATCATAAGATTTATTCTTCCAAATCAGAATGAGAAATTCAAAAGCATGTGGATTATGTGAACGATTTCACAAATGTTCAATATTCGCACCGCCTGAGACACGGCATTTTTATACCTGGAAAGAAAAAGATTAAAGATTAAAGAACATAAAAATACAAATAAGAAAAAACACAAAAACATAAAGATATAAAAACATAAAACAAACATTAAACATAAAGATGCTATTAAAATTTGAAGTCGTTTGAAGGAGGTCTAACAAAGTTATTAGATTGCGAAATGATATCAAATTTTTTGAAACACCCTGTATTTTCAGGGCAATTGTTCCGACGAGTTGCTTTCTCTGGTTCTCAGACAGCATGAATTTAAGCGTGCTTACTAGGCTGGCATCTCAGTCCCACTCTTTCACTGTCGAAACGGTTAAATGTATCCGTTTCTTTTTCACAAACAGCTTCTTCTCTCGCACTTCCCGTCTGTGGAACTCACTTCCTCTTACTTGCTTCTCCGATTACTATAATCTTCAAATATTCAAATGTCATGTCAATACATATCTTCTGATACCTTGATCTTGTGCACCCTTTTTTTTTCTTTACCTTCTCCCCAGACACGCCTCTTTTCTCTTGCTCTTACCCTCCGTAATCCCTTGCTTGGGGTGAAATGCTTAAAAAAATTAATGCTGAAGCAACAGCTAAAATGGATAACAAATGTAACTAGAAAGGAAATTAATGATATAATCAAGATTTTAACTTTCCACAATGCTGTAAACAAAGGTTTAGGGTCAAAAAGCGCCCATCACTACTAGAAAGAGCGATAATGGCTAGTGGCCTTGAGAAATCTATTTTCCTGAGAAACTGTGTTAAGAATAAGATTTTTTAAAATTTCAATGACTAATAATAATGCTATTGGGACAATGAATGACGAATGTTTCCTTATAAAGATAAAAGTTAATTTCACCATTTTCATTAAATATGACTTTTCTTTGTTAAAAGTATAGTATCTGGATTGGACATTGTGTGTAACAAAAGGAGTAGTAATTAAACCACAAGACGGATTTTATTTTCTGCTTTATTTTGTAGAATATATATTTAATAAAGTTGCAGCTTTTTCACAGTACAGATACCTCCTCTTTATATATAATTATATTATTCCCGGCACTTTACTGGCTTGAACACGGATTTTCAATGACCAAAGTCTTATGAATAAAGTGTTTAATTCTTCCTTCGGAGTGAAGTAGAACCTCCTAATATTTATATGAATGATTTTGTAGTCATTTGCACTTTCAGGTTAGCTAATGACGAAATAATATAACGAGAAAGTTGTTATTGGTCAGTGTGCGGAGGACAAAATGGAGACAATGCGTATATTTAAAATGGGGGATGTTTTGCAGACATTCTTTTTCAAAATAAGTAACTCGTTTATAGTCAGTGGACTTAAACAAGTAAAAAAAAACAAAAACATTTTACTCAATTATTCTAGCAATTCTACTTGAGTTAACACCGGTTCTCGTGCGAACATTATAGTTAAGCAACATCGACCCTTGTCAGTAACTAGATGTGTGACCATTTGAGAATACCAGGTGCTGTAAGCTTGGATGTGCAGGCGGTATAATGGGTAACGGCACGGAATTTGAAATCTGAGAGCCAAGTTCCAATTCCAGTCGGGTTCGTTATATTGACTTACGAGCAAATACCCTTGAGAAAGGCATGGATCCGCTTCTTCTCCTCCCAACTATGGCTTAATAAATGATAAAATATGTCCCCACCTAAAAGAAAATAATTTTAAAATATTTTCTGGTTGCAAAAGGTTGATTAAGCATAAAACCAAATTCATCAATCAATCTAATTCAGTCAGTAATTCTTTTCAATTTATTAAGCCTAAGCATAAAACAGCAACCATTTATTAAACTTAAGTATTAAGTCTTGTGCAGAAATTAAGAAATTCGAATAGTGGTCAGAATCCTAAGAAGCCGAATAAAAAAATTCATGTATCTAGCGTCGTTAGGAGCTTAAAAGGCCTAGTTTCGAAAATGTTGTATTAATTAGTATCATTTGGAGTCGAACTTGTTTCTAATTACAATTTGTACGAAAATAAAAATTCCTTCGAAAATCATTGCAACTGCAGTTAAATACGACACTTCTCTTTTCATATACTTGGGAAGTAGAATCTTTATGACGTCCTCACCCAGCACAGCAATCATGCTGCCTATTCGCTTAAAATGAATAGTTTTCTCTATATCAATGAATTCTGGTAACATTGAATTCATCACAATTGCTCACCACGAAGCGATCAGTAATAACTGTAGAGATCATGAACTGATATGACAATAAATCCTAATGTATTAGGAGAATTACATTCGGTAGGACGGGTCTCCCACGTCTCAGCTATCTTTAAATACGGACCATTAAAGCAAGAGTCAAATTGTCTTGCTAAAATAATTTACACATTTATGCAGGATTAAATGCAAAAATAAATCTCCCTATAATTTATAAAATCGCATATACAAGGGGGGCCATAGTTTTCCTGGCAACGCGTGATCAGACACGTTTTTTCATAGGCACAAAACAAGCAAGAAAAAATTGGATTTCATGTGATACATAGCTATTTTCGATCATTTCGTTCCACCAGTTCTAACGTTCGTGGTGGTTTGCTCCGATGCGGCTAGCATGGAGCAAATCGCTCACATTCCCTCTGTATTCCATTTGTGAGGAGTAAGTTCCACTCAAACAGCTTCTTCTCTTGAACCTCTGCTCTGTGGAACCGACTCCCAAGAGGATGTTTTCTCGATCACCTTAACCTGTTTAATTCTAGGGTTAACCGTTAACATCTCCACATATCCGCATAAACAGTAACTCTTACCTTCTACTTCAAGTGGCTCCCGGGTCTTGTATCAGATTACACCCCACTGTAAAAAAATTCTAACAGTTGTTGGTGCAGTAGATATACACGTATTATTGAATTATCATTTATACGTGGCTACTGTTTGTTCGTCCATAGAGAGAAGTACACAGAGAGAGGCAGAAGAATAGTGAAATATGATTTGTTTAATTTTTACGGTTTGTCAAACTATTTTTGGGTTATTCGAAGACAACAGATATATGACATTGTAAGAATGTTTATTTTTTCAGAATGAATATTGCATAAACAATCTTTTGAAAAAAAAACTACTCTCAGATACATGTCGTACTATTTGACCCATAGTTGGGGGAACAAAGGCGATAGATTCATACCATCTCCAAAGTTCTTAAGTGAATGTAATGAAACCAACTGGAATTTGAACTCGGTTTTTCATTCTGAGCTGCTACCCATTACACCACTCGCACATCCCGTGCAATATGAATAAAGTTTTGTTATGTTGAACTTCGTTATATGACCTCTAAGCATTCATAAGTATGGTTTATAAAAAGAATTTCTGGAAATGTTTTTAACGTTTAAGATCCATAATATCATTTACAACAAACAAATAATTAATTGCAAATATGATAACGTTTTTAGCAATCTGAAATACCTCAGTATCCATTTCCCTCTATAAGTTTAGTGAATCCCATGTCTTTTCAAGACCTAGGCGATCATGGCTCTCCACCTGCTCTTTTTCTTTGTGAATTGCCTTGAATTCTTAGGGAAGTGGTTAACCGTCAGCTACTCATGATATTGAATTCAGGATATTACTTCTCGTATTCTACTATTTAATTCATAGTTGGGGTAAGAAGAAGTGGATTTATACCTTTCCTAGGGGTATTGGTGCGAAAGTGAACCGGACAGAATCTGCACTTCAATCGCTGATTCAACTTTTTGCGCTGATAACCTTTACACGGGCTGCACATCACTCTATTTATATTTAGGTACATCTATGCGTTTTTCCTAACAAATATTTATCTTTCACATACTGTTTTGTTTGTAAATGCACTTAATACAGTGGTAACAATTTTACGTTAAAAATAATAATTCCTTGTCAGGCGAAAACATTATTGATCTGCATCTATCTATCTATCTATCTATCTATCTATCTATCTATCTATCTATCTATCTATCTATCTATCCTTGAGTGGGTTTGAATATTTTAGTATTTAAAGAACTTGAAAAAGTAAAACGTTTCTACCTAAAAATTCCGATAACATCAATGGTTAGTAGGAAGACTTTTCTTATATGAAAAAAAAAAAAAAACTTGGAAGAGGTTTTTAAAGAGATTAGAAAAACGAAGAATTAAAAATCAGTTTGAATATTGAATATCGATCAAAATATCCTGAAGGAAGTTAAAACAAAAAAATATGAAGCTAACCTTAGCATAGATAAACTCTGAGATGATATGGAAAACTTGGGTACTAGTTGCTACATGTTATGAAATTAAATATAGTGAATAATATAAAAAGGAAGAGTAGAACTGCAGGGGGAGGGCATTCTCTAATGGCGATTCTCATAAGAGAAGATACCCTCTTCAAAGACTGGCCGGAAATATTTGCCCAGAATAAAAAGGCATTGGTGACCTTAATGGAAACAGTCTGGATATTGAGTCATGGCATCCGAATAGACTGTTTAATCGAAAATGTACAATGTTGGTGATGCAAAAAAAAAAAAAAAAAAAAAAAGAAAACACAAAAGGAATTTCATTATCCAACCAGGAAATTATCAAGACATTTAGCAAGAAAAATATTACGAATATCTCAATTAAATGGATTCAATTAAACCGAGTGATGGGAAAGAAAAATCATTTCATAGAAAAAGAAAATATTAGAAATTATACTAAAATGCAAATTAATTAATACCTGGGGATTACACATTACATGCTTAAACGCAATCTTCAGGCCATGTATTGTGTTTTGGTTTGACTATTTATATATGCTGGTCAATGGTGCATTATGGTTAGAAGGTCTATTGCATTATTCTAACGGTTAAGTGAGCGGTAACGGTTTTGTTTTAAAATAAAATAATAAAACAAAAAATCTAAATCAATAAATACTACACAAATTAAGTAAGTAAAAAACAAAAACCAAAAAAAAACTTCCTTTATGGCACCAAGACTCTATGAATGTATGCGTAGTAATAGATTGACGGCAAGGTCTGATTTTACAGTTGAAATAGTTAAATGGTCTGACTTCTCGATTTGGAACTTTGTTCAGCATCAGTTGAAAGATTTATCTTCAAAAATATAAATGCAATATTCTGTCTGCTTAATTACTGTTCTTTTATTGTCCTAAACTATGTTTATCTTTGATTTTCAACTATGTTTATCTCTTTCTATGTAACTTTGTTAGTGGCTTCTTACCTTTTTCTTCGCGGTGAAATGATAAAAAAAATTACGAAAAATGAAGTTGAGCGATGAAAAAAGTCAGCATGTGGTTCGTTTAACGCGAGGTTGCATAATTATCAGTGAAGACGTTTATGAAATCTTTTGCAGACCCTATTCTCTGTATCATCATGCATTCAGAACTCAATGATTCTTAGTACTGTGTCAGTGAATGACTACAGATTTGCGTTCTAAAATACATTAAGAATATATATCTTTTTTTCTAAATAGTAAAGAAAGACTTTAAGATGGGCTTTGTCTTACCCTAGAGGTAATATAGATAATGAAATGCAAACCTATGCTTGTTAGGGGGAATAAGAATATGCATGGACAAGAATAAGATGAGTGATGGCGAATGAAATCTTCTGGGAATCGTCCAGACGAGTAGGAATGTCTGCAGAGAATGATAGTGTATTCAAATAGAAAATCCTGTCTTATAAAATAAAAACAATTTATTTTATGTGAATTTGGTATTCAAGCGGATCGCAGAATCAAAGTAAGGAGACCAGCTCATGTTCTCATAAATAAGGAGGAGGAAATTTATCACAGACAATATTTCTCATTTCTATCGGATCACCGTGAAACTGAAAAAGAATGAAAAGATAGAATATATATATATATATATATTAAGAAATGGACAAAGTCCGACAATTTATTTATTAAAGATATTTTTATGTTTAACGTTCTTTTTTATAGATACAAGTATTTAAGTAAATGCTCTGTTTATAATAAAATATAATTCAGGCCGGTAAATGTTATTTAATACTGTTTATTAAAAAACAGAGCATTTACTTAAATACTTGTATCTATAAAAAAGAACGTTAAACATAAAAATGTCTTTCATAAATAAATTTTCGGACTTTGTCCATTTCTTAATATATGACGTCATTTGTTTACATTTGATACGCCAGAGCAGTTATGAATGTACGAGATTCATGGAAGATTGAAGTTTATAAGCAGTAAATTCGACCTTGCGTACCGAACGCTCCTTTGTGGCCGAGCCGGTAAGGCACGTCAGCGTAAATGACGGTTCGAATCCTGTCAAAGGACGAATATTTTCTATGAAAATTTCTCGGACATTCAGGTCGGTAAATGTTATTTAATACTGTTTATTATAAACAGAGCATTTACATTTTATTTACTTAAATACTTGTATCTATAAAAAAGAACGTTAAACATAAAAATGTCTTTAATCAATATATATATATATAGAGACAGATCTGGCTAAAGAACAGAAAAAAAATTGGTCATAGAGAAGCCTTTTAACTATTTTCTTTTAGAAACAGTCCAGAAGAATTATCGATAAATTAAAATTTAACAATCGATCTATCTTGCTTTCCATCTATTCTTTCTATCTATTTATATTCGCGTTGTTCTTTCATTGTTCTTCTCTTCGTTAATTCCTTTTCATTCAGGTTGAATTTCTTGTGACCATTATTAATGTATTTAACCACTGTCAGTTTTTTTTTCTTTCTTTACGGGTAGCAATAATCTTTTTTTAAAGTCGGTGATACCCAAGAGATGTGGTAAATAGGTAGTTTTTCTTGTACACGTCAGGCTAACAAAATAATATCTAGAATAGTACTTTTTTAACGTCGGTCTCCAAAATGAACGATGCAATTGGTTTTTATACACTTCAAGAGTCAAAAAACGATGTCGGTGAATAAGCTGTTTTTGTTATGCACGTTGGCGGTTACCAAAAAGTTATGAGGTCACTCACGTTAAAGGAACAGAAATTCATCTTGTGTTCAGAGAGATAAAAGCATACCTGACAGGAAATAGAAAGTACACAAATAACACGAAAAGCATGATAAATTTTATGTTAATTTCATAAAATTTATTTATATTCTTGCGTGTATTGGCATGTGTATTTTTTTTTAGGTTACAATTGTTTTATGGTACATGTGATAAAAGGAAGAATTTACTCCGTAGTATTACAAGCCGTATCACAGAGAGAAGTCGGACACGCGTTGCCCGTACCAAGGTTTGTGATGAAGAGATTGAATTTAATGTCTTTTGGCGGGATGTCCGTATTTCCGGCAGGAACGTTTTTGTTGCGGACTGGGAGAGTTTTATTTTATTTTTTATTCAATTTATTTTAAACAAAATTTAAATGTTATTGTTTTATTTTACTTTATTTACAATTTTCATTACTATTATTTTATATTTTATTTATTCATAATAATAATATCCCTACACTTTTTTCTGTTCAAAAGTATGATGCATTTTTAATCTAATGTTATAAGCTGTGTTATGCTTTCATAGCCACATTCGAAAAGAATTGTTGCAGTCCCAAAGATTCAGTGGAAGACCTAACAAATTGATAACTAGAAGATTTACCGCATATTTAACTTCTTCAATTTCTTTTGTCAGAATAAATTATGTTCAACACGGAAAACTCTCAGCCTCCCCATCTCTTTGGATACTTTTGGATACAACATGATTATGGCAAATTCTAGTTAGGTTTTCAACTTAATCACGGAAATGATTATTGCTGTGGTAAGAGCGCGTGTCACTAGGGGCGCGCACGAGCGTAGCGTGACTAACATTTTACCTAAACCATCGGCTATTAATATATAAGATTATTTTCGGATAATCCAACAACCGGTTCACTAAACTTTTATAATTTTAAGAATCGATTCACGCGAACCGGTGCGAACTGGTAGGATGCCACAACTGGCTATAATGCATCCAAACGTTTTACGTCTGCTTCAGTGAAATAGAAAATCATGTCATTTTTAAATATTTTCATTTATACCACCCTACTTCTTTAAATAATGACCTGTGTTCATATTTGTGATTCTTATTGCAATATTCTGTCAAATTTGTTAATTTCAAATGTTTAACGATGCTATAGTGTGATTTCCAAGGGTATTTTATAGTCATAGATGATGATTCATTAAGAAATTCAAATAGGAAAATCATTGAAATCGTGTACTGCTAGCAGGATAAATATTCGTTTTGTTCATGCTGTTGTGGCATTTGGTTAACAAATCATTATTTTTTGTTTGGTTTTGTCGGAAGTGGCATCTCCCATTGACACCGAAGAGAAATCGGAAGACAAAACAGCGATTGATATTTGCTCTCGCACTGAATTAATGAGACAAATATCTGAGTTATACACATGCAATAGGAAGGTGATTTGCTATCATCAGTGAGTTGTGTCTGGACGCCATTATCTGTCACCGTCTGTATAGTCAACGTTCCGATATTTTGTTTGCCAAGTTCCTGGGAAAAGAGCCAAAACATCAAAAATGATACAAGAGGGTTTTAAAGGAAAGGGAATTAAAGATCATCATTGCTTTGTTCCCTCATTTGTTTGCCTATTTTCATGTTGTTCTTTCATTGTTCTTCTCTTCGCTAGTTCCTTCTCATTCAGGTTGAATTTCTTGTGATGATTATTAATGTATTTAACCTCTGTCAGTATTTTTCTTTCTTTGCGGGTAGCAATGAAAATAATCACATGCATATCTATCTATCTATCTATCTATCTATCTATCTATCTATCTATCTATCTATCTATCTATTTATCTATTCATCTATCTATTATCTAAGCCTATCACACCTATTATATCATAATAAATCTATTCATACCTATGACAATCTATCTATCTATCTATCTATCTATTTATCTATCTATCTATCTAAATCTATTCATCTATCTATCTATCTATCTATCTATCATCAATTTCTATGTATATCATAATATTAAGCTGTCTATTCATACCTATGAGCTAAATCTATTCTATCTATCTATCTATCTATCTATTTCTATCTATTTCAAGACTATCTACCTATTTGAGCTAAATCTATGTATATTCATGTCTATTCATATCTATCTATCTATCTATCTATCTATCTATCTATCTATCTATCTATCTATTTAAATCTTTCAAGCTATCTATATCATCTATCTATTCTATCTAAATCTATATTCATTTGTATTGACCTAATATCTATCTATCTATCTATCTATCTATCTATCTATCTATCTATCTATCTATCTCACAATTTCTATGTATATCATAATATTAATTTGTCTATTCATACCTATGAGTATCTATCTATCTATCTATCTATCTATCTATCTATCTATCTATCTATCTATTCTATCTATCTATCTATCTATTTCAAGCTTTCAAGCCTATCACCCTATTGAGCTAAATCTATTCATGCCTATGACAATCTATCTATCTATCTATCTCACAATTTCTATGTATATCATAATATTAAGCTGTCTTTTCATACCTATGAGTATCTATCTATCTATCTATCTATCTATCTATCTATCTATCTATCTATTTCAAGCTTTCAAGCTTTCAAGTCTATCACCCTATTAAGCTAAATCTATTCATGCCTATGACAATCTATCTATCTATCTATCTAGCTAGCTAGCTTTTTATCTAGTTTTGTATTGATGTTTATATTTATCCGTAAGGGAAGTGTTCAGCCATTTCGAAATACAACAAGCATAGGTTTCGTTGTTTCACTGGACATCTAATCAAAAGTGAACTTCCTACAAATGCAGGACAGGCTCTGTCCCATAGGATTTCTCAATTGGTAGTAATAAGCCATTGATGAATTTGTGCATTGTGTGACTATTGCATTTGCAGCAAATATGCATCAAATTGTGGTTGAAACTTGGATATTCATCCGCGGAATCTATTTGAATAATTAAGAATGTTTTCAAACATGATTCTGTGAGCAAAGCGTAGATAAAGTGGGCTATGCTTTAATATTATCCGGGGATCCTTTGAAAGTGGTGCAATCAAATAAAGTTGGAAAATTACTTGACGAGCCTAAGAATTTCTGGTAATTTCTTGGACTGTTCGGGAAAAGATTCGACTTCATATTCTTCATGACAAATCACATTCACTCAATGCATTCTTTAACCCAGGCGTGAAACTGACAGTTGCCATGCAGCGTTTATTCACATTTCCACATTCTATATGTTTATAAATGCTGATTATTTCCTATTTATTATTATTAATACATTCACTTTACCGCGTTTATGTGTGCATTCATAGTTTTTTAATTTGTTTATTATTTACTTAATTTGCATCTATAACCAAGATAGATAGTGTTGCACCAACCTCTAACACAAGGGAATTACACCGGTTCTCACTATATATAGTGCCAGTAATACCTACCCGGTGTAAGCAGCGACAGTACTACAACTACCTAGCTGTTTCCTACCTTTGTATCTGTGATGTTGAATACACTTGTTCTTTAAACCAACTTCGACTTGATTTTCTTATTTTTACTATTGTACCACGACACAACAGATAGATACATTTTCTTTTTGTATTAAGTTTTTCAAATTTTAGTAAAAATTGTATTAAAAATTTGTTTTTTGTCTGAATTTTGAGATGTCGTCTGATTGTCTATTTAGTAAAGTAATTATAAATATATTTTCCTCCAGACAGAGTTTTCGGTTTTCGGTTTTTGATTTTATTGTTGTAGGCTGATGCTGTTTTCTGCATTTTTCATGTTTTGTGTTATTTAGTTTTAGTTTTTTGTTTACAAAACAAAACAAAAATCACACCAAAAATATCCTAGAAACACACACACACGAACACGTATCAATGGACACATAAAAACGACAAATAATAAAGTAATCAATAAAAGTAATGAGTCAAAAAAAACAAAAAAACAAAACAATAACAGGCCACACTATAAAACAACTAGAAATAAGCTCATTCGGATCCACTATTATTTCTACCCAATAGATTCCAGAATACATTGAAACATAACCATTACCGTCCAGCCAGAAGATGTTAGGATAATGAAGTAAAACTGCTACCTATAATGCACTATTGACCAGCATAAGAAAAATAGTCAAGCAAAAACACAGACATGAAAAATTCATTTAAGAAAGAAATAGACTGTTGCCACTTTGTATTGATATCAGTGTCCACATACACACGCACGCACACATACACACAGACACACGAACCACATATACGCACACAAACGCACACATACATACATATACATACATACACACACACACACACACACACACACACACACACATATATATATATATATATATATATATATATATATATATATATATATACACAAATGAGATGTGAGGTAGGTTAGTACTAATGTCGTGGCATTATATTTTTAAAAAATTGTGTTCAATATAGCGAAGAGTTTAATAATAATAATAATAATAATAATAATAATAATAATAATTAAAGTCCAACGGCGGGTGAACACCACCGCCTCCGGAGGTACACCGGAGTGTCGTAACATGATTGGTGTTATGTAGCGGTTTATAACACGGTTTTTTTTATATATATATATATATATATATATATATATATATATATATATATATATATATATATAGTCATGCCAAAAAACACAACACACATGGCCTGAAAATTAGATTTAAGGGTGTAACAGAAATCGCCACTGTGTGTTGATCTCAGTATCCATTTATATATATATATATATATATATATATATATATATATATATGCATAATTAAAATTTAGCGCACATATAAACATTTAACGAAAATGAGAAATATTAAAAACAAAACAAAAGCTTAATGATACATAGGCGATCATCATTTAAAAATCAGTTTTCTTTGTTTTTATTGTTGCCGTCGTTAATTATCACAAAAACACATAAATAAACACACCGGCACACACACATAAATTTTGTCTCTAAACCTATCTATCTATCGTAGTAAATACTTATCTAATCTTTACTTATGTATCTCTATCATTGTTCTCACATTTACTCATTAGGTGGATCTGCCTGAGAACTTTTCAGCCTCTCTTGCATATACATGCGTATACATATAATCATATAAACACGAACATTTATGAATATATAAAACTACATATAAATATTTGCTCTTGCATATGAATATAGCACATAGATCTCTGCCGCATGTACACACGCACACATACATCATTGTAAACATTCTCTTTGACATTCACAAATGAATATACAACATTAGTTGCTCTGACAACAATCTGTAAAAAATACCAGATTAGAAAAATTATGAACGACGTTATTGTAAGATGCAAGACAAAGAATTTATTTACAAGGCCCAAAGCGTTATGCAAGATTTTTTTTATTCTACTTTTCTTTATTAGGCGACATTATCATCGTTTGTTTTGCAACAACTTGGCTCCTTTTTTCAAATGCCTTTTCTTTGTCGATAGAATTCTGAATATTATCATAGGGTTCGTAGACAAGATTATTATTTATTTTATGATAAATAAGCATTAAGTATATTTTTGACAATTTCTTTCTTTGCATCATGTGCCTGTTTCACATTCGTAGACGCGCGCGTGCGCAGACCCGCGGGCGCGCGCACACACACGCACAAACACACACACACACACTTACTAAATTCTCCAATAAGATCCCCACAAATTATACAACAAAAAATAACTTGCTCAATTGGAGAATGTGTCTCTAATAATAATAATTCAAGCACATAGATCAGATACACAAAATCTTCAACTTTGAAGTTTATAAATTGTCGGACCTTGTCCATTTCTTAATATATGACGTCGTTTGTTTACATTTGATACGCCAGAGCAGTTATGAATGTACGAGATTCATGGAAGATTGAAGTTTATATATATATATATATATATATATATATATATATATATATATATATATATATGTTTATTATAATGAATTACTATAAAACATTTTACATCGCTACACAAAAAAATTCATGTTTCAGTACTAAGTTTGTACTTCCTGAGATAAATTATTAAAGTTGAATAAATAAAATAAATGTAGGCTGGACCATTATATACTAATAAAATAATGGCTAAACAATTGTAATACGTAATCATTTATGAAAACGTTTTTAACTATATTTTAAGGTAAAAAGGTAGACAATGCCGGCATAACACCATTAATTCATTTCGTTGGTTTAACAGATCTTTATTGTTAGGAAACATTATAATATGCAAATTTTCTTGTAAACATAGGGAACATAGATCATGTAAGGATTTACAAGTACTAGTTATTTATTTCCATTTATATATATATATATATATATATATATATATATATATATATATATATATATAGTTAAATTCCCAGATGAATTCTGTGGACAAGACAGATTGGTATCAAATGACAATTGGAAAAAATCTTACATTTTGCCGACGCGTTTCGTCTTCCAACTTTTTCAAGGCAAAAATTATTATTTTATTATTTATATTATTTTTTTATTTTATTTTTTTCGAAAAAAAAATCCCAAAAATTTTTTGGAAAAAAAAAAATAAAAAAAATAATAATAATCCCTTACTATAAAGGTAATTTACATTAACCAAAAAAAAGGCTTAGACACAAGCGTCTATCTTTTTAATTTTGAATTTTAATGTAACTATAACAACAAAAAAACATTTCGATTTCATTTTTGCCTTGAAAAAGTCGGAAGACGAAACGTGTCGGCAAAATGAAAGATTTTTTTTTCCAATTGTCTATATATATATATATATATATATATATATATATATATATATATATATATATATATATATATATAATAGGCAGGGTGTAGTAATGGATAGCGGCTGGGATTGAGGAATCGGAGAGTTCGAATTCCAGTCTAATCCATTACATTCAATTACGTGCCAATACACTTAGGAAAGGTTTGAATCATCATCATCTCCCTCTAGCTATGGGTAAATAGCAGGACAGAATGAATTCTATAGCCTTGGATGTCAACTGGTCTAGGAGAAGGATAACTCTGAATTCAAAACCTGCGGAGGGGTGATTGGGGACCTTGTGGCACTTAGTGCACCAGGTCTCTGTATTCGGCTCTTCAAAAAGGGTGGATGGTCCTGCACGAAACCCTCACCACTATAATCAAATCTCATGTGCTGTTGTCGGGCTGTCGGTTTCCTGGGAACTGATTTACTTGACCCTCATACATCGAATTCGTCGGGAGAGTCGAGTATATTATATATATGTATTTATGGTGGCGGCTGATTGCCCGTATCCGTGTGAGGTGTACCTGTCTACTACTGTCTGTTGCACATTTGTGTTTGTTAAACACTCAGAGACCCCAACTTTATTTCATATCGCAACTATACTGAAGGGATCTTAGTAACAGTTTCTGGGAGGTAGCACATTATCTGGTGTGACCAACATTTTGAAAATGACCAGTACGCTTAGACCCACGTTCACGATAACTTGTGACTTTGTGATAGCAAAATTAGCGACGGCTCCTAAATAGTTCCGTCTACACAAGATCACGTAGAAAACGTGTTATAGTTTTTAGGCGCCAAAAGTACCGCATGCAATTAACATCAGTTCAAGATGAAACATCATCTTGAATTATAGGAAATCAGTCCTAATCCATCAATGAAAAAAAACAAAAAACAAAAAACAAAAAAAACACATTGTAGCAAAACTCCCACGTTCACTCCGTATGCCTTTCGTGAGAAATAAGATCCACTTGAGCAGCTTCCCGCGAACCACTGCTCTGTGGAACAGCCTCCCAAGGGAGTGTTTCCATGATCACTACAATTTTAACCTGTTCAAATCTAGATTTAAGCATTATCTTCCCTTCTTATGTATACAAACTGCCCCTTGACTTAACTGTCTACCTCAAGTTGCCTCCGGGCCTTGTACAGGGTGTACCTTACTGTAATCTATCTATCTATCTATCTATCTATCTATCTATCTATCTATCTATCTATACATACACACACACACACACATATACATATAATGTATTCTATTATACATACACACACACATATATATATATATATATATATATATATATATATATATATATAGAATACATTATATATATATATATATATATATATATATATATATATATATATATATATTCTATTATATATATTTATATTACTATGAAATTCCTTTTTATCTGGCCGAGATATTTTCAGCATGTCCTTATATATGGAATTCGAGATCTATCGTCTGCAGTCGAATATTTAAGCCAGGTTGGATGCACCGTTTAATCGGCTTATTACAAATCATAGATCCTGATAAGATTACGTTGTCAAAACTCGACAGAACACTTGCGATGTATTGTACCAACATATCTTATACTGAACTTTCTATTATTTAACTATAAAAAAGAGGACATTTTATTTTGTATATAACAAATCTTAGTATTAATATTTACTATCACTACATCTAGAGTGCCGTAAGTCTTTAGCGTCATAGAGGCATCACGTGTATTGCCGTCATTGCATCAACTGTGTGTCTAGGGCAAGATAACCTGACGTTCTGGTTCTGGTTCTGGTTGAGAGTTAAATTAACGACCTGTCTAGGAGAAATTTCAAAAACATTCTACTGCATTTGATTTTGGGAATTAAATCTGACCGATAAATTTTCAGCACCCCATCGTGCATATATTTATTTAAAGAAATATTTGATAGAGCCAAATTTTATTAAATATTTCTCCTAGACAAGTCACAACTTTACGACAAGAGAACCCAGTCAGAAAACTCATTGCTGGGTGAAAGAAATAAATTTATACTTTTCCAAATAATATTTCTGAGAAAGTGAACGCAACGATCAGAATTCGAACATGTATCGTTGAATTGTGTTTCCGAATCGCTAACCTCTGCACAAGCAACAAATGCGCGATTATAAACGATTTTATTTCTCAGTTGCTGATTATTAAGAAACATAATGTTCACAATTCGTCTTGTTGTATTTGTATGTAGTCTAGTTATTTATTGGCATTGCGCCATTTTTTTCTTATAACCTTAAGGCAGCTTAATTTTGTTTTATAATTTTACTGAAATATATTTTCCTTTTATATATTATTCTGAACGCCTCATCTTGAAATTTGCTCTTAAAAATCCTGCAAAATCTCGCAAGACACATATGTCAGACTTCTAGTTTTAGGTATTTTTCAGCCATATTAGATAAACTGAAGCACTTTCTTATATGTGATGTTCGATTTAAATGCCTCTAGGTTTATTATTTTTACATTTGCCTTGGGAATTGCTCCATTTTTAAGACAACCTCTTCCTCTCGTACAATAAGCTCAGTCCTTAGGTCTCATTTCAATACGGGTTTTGTTTATGCAACGTCTTTATTTATTGATTTATTGATTTCAACATTTTGGTCCATCCGCTAACCCTTTTTCCTGTTCATTTCCTCAATTATCCACACTTTTCCTGCTTTACTTTCTTCATTTATTACTCTTCTTGTAGGATTTGCTTTCGTTCATTTTTTCCTATATATTTCAACTACTTTCTTTCTGAAGTTGAAAGCAAGAGAAGTAGAAAAGTCTACAAAAGAGACATTGATAGATCAACGTCTCTTTTGTCGACTTTTCTACTTCTCTTGCTTTCAACTTCATTTCCCTTTAGTTTTTATAACCTCTTTTCTTGAACTTTCAACTTCTATTATTCAATTTCATCTTGCTTCATATCTTAACGTCTTTCCATTTATCTTCTTTCAACGTCTCTTTTCTTTATCTGTCAACACTTTCTTTTATTTCAAATTTAGTTTATTCGGTATTATAACTTTTTCTTCTACCGTCCAGTTTTTATTTCCTCCATCTTTCAAAGTGTCTTTTCTCTATCTCTTAATATGTCGATCTTTCAACTTTGGTCACCTCAATCTTTCTAATATTTCTCAACGATTCTTTTCTCTCCCACTTTGCAATTTGTCACGTACTCTTTCTTTTTTGTTTCTGTCTGTCTGTCTGTCTTTCTTTCTTTCTTTTTTTTCTTTCTTTCTTTCTTTCTTTCTTTCTTTCTTTCTTTCTTCAATGCATCAATTTTATGATTCCTTTATCGCTTCTAATTCTCTGTTTTCATCTTTTCCTTTCATTTCTTCTCTTTCCCTTTCTTTGTGTAAAACCATTTTAATTATGCACATGCATTTCTTCTCTCCTACTTTTTGATCGTCCTTCTTCCAATTCATTCAATTCAATGCCCTCCATTTTGTTGTGACTTTCTTCCATTTGCTAACTTTATTTCCTTTTTACAACTTGTACATAATTTCTTTCTCCCATCCGTCTTTTATTCATGACTTACTTTTGTTCCTGTCTTGTACTGGATTTAAATTCTTAGTAGTATGCGAAACTATTATGTATTAAGTTTTGGTTCTTGCTAGTCGTCGAATAAAAAAAGTCATAGATGATGTATTAGTCTTTGTTTGTTGCCCAAGCAAACGAGAAATTTAGAGAGAAGAGTCTGGAGATACGGAAGAGTTAATAATAATAATAATAATAATAATAATAATAATAATAATAATAATAATGAACTAGGATGTATGAAAGAAATGGAATGTGACTCAACTAACTACAGACAGACATCTACAAATACACACAAAAAACATGCAAACATAGATACATCAAAACAAATAGTCAAGCAAACACACATTATGGGGGGTCATTGAACTACACACTTGTGGGCAAAAATAATATAAAATGCATAAAATATGAAATTTAGACTTCTACACACATACGCACTGAATATATATATATATATATATATATATATATATATATATATATATATATATATATAAGTGTGTGTTTTTGTGTGTATATATATGGACAATAAATAGATATAGACGGATATAAATCTGTATGCGGCCGTTAAAACTACAATAGAGGAAAACAAAGACTGTAAAAATCTCTCCCTATATATATATATATATATATATATATATATATATATATATATATATATATATGTGTGTGTGTGTGTGTGATAGACATGGGGAGAATGTGGAAGAGAGAATATAAATAGGTGTGTTAGAGAAGCATATTCTCTGAGGACGTGACAAGACTGTTGAAAAGCAAACGGATTATAGCGGTAGGTTTTCGTAGTCGAAGCTGGGATGAAAAGCGGTGAGCGGTAAAAGAAACTACAATAACCAGGAATGAAAAATAAAATAACAGAATATATATATAATGATAAGTAATAGATGAGTGACGAAAAATGGAAGTAAAAAAGCGAAAGAGAAAGTGAAAGTAGACAATGAAAGTAGACCTCAAAAGAAACACGAAATACGAAAACAGAGATCGAAAGGACAGAAACAGATAAGGAAGAAGAGAGCTAGACAATGACAAGAACAATAAAGAAGTGAACTTTATAAAGTGTAAGCATGAGAAGACAAAGAAATACTTAGATTCTATTAATAACGAATAACTGCGATAATCTAGTTATTCACAGACATTAGGTAGCGCCTTGAAACGTAATTAGAGTTAAAGCCGCAAAACTGTCAAAGATGGAAAAATAAGATAAATTCTAATGAAGAATGCTAATCAAAGTGGGTAGTAGTTAAGTAAATGAGTATATAATCTATCTTAAAATAAAAATGTGACAAAAATAATTCACCGTATAAAACAATGCTGAAGAAAATCGTGCCACAGGTATTCTAAACATTCTTTTCTTTTAGAAAATAGCAGGATTGCAGATCTGGCCAACTAGCTTTGCGTTCCTTGTCTCCGTGCTTCCATTGAACTGCGATGTGTGTATACATGAGGATCTCTAATACGCATGTATATCTACCGAATATAATGAACTTATTTCTAGTTATAAAATGACCCCTTTCAAAGAACACCTTTGTTTGGACAAAAACAGAAGCAAATGCAATTCTTTTTTTTACGTGGCATCTATCAGTCCTCCGATATGTCAGTGAATACGGGATGATGTTCTCATAGATGAAGAAGAGACCTGAAGCAACATAAATGTTGCTACAGGTCGTAAATGTTCTACAGAATGATGCTGAGAATACCATAGACTGAACATGCGTGCAACGACGAAGTTTTAAAGAAAAAAGAAATATAAAAAGACATTTCAGAGAGAGAGAGAGAGAGAGAGAGAGAGAGAGAGAGAGAGAGAGAGAGAGAGAGATAGTGAGGAAAGAGGGCTTGGAAAATTTAACACACATAGGAGACATGTTGAAAGCAAGGAGGACTGAGGAAAGAAGCAACGTACATAACGAACTTGATCGCAGAACAAGGATTAGAAGAGATAGCAAAAAGATAAAACATTGCTAAGAGCTAGAATGCATAGGAATATGTGGAGAACCATGATGCTTACGTCCTCAAGGGACACGGCTCGTCGAAGAAGAAGCCTATTCAGGAAATGTGTGACCATATTTCCACACAACTTTGTAGCTGAAAACAACGTATCCTTTTACTACAAGGCCGACAGTATGGGGCATCTAATGAGGATCGAACTCATTTTTTCAGTTGTATCTGATCTAGCGAGACAAGCTTGCTAACAATTACACCACGGCGAGGTGCTCTTAGTGATTTTCCAAGCGTAGCTTGGATGTGGCACAAGGCCGAAAGTAAGGGGCTCCCAGTGAGGATCGACTCATTCGTAAGCTTGCTAACCATTACACCACCTCGAGGGTGCCAGCAATTCATATATTTGCTGCTAAGTAAGCGACATGACACGTCAACGAACTTGGACCACGCTCATTTCCTTCGTATTTCAAATGCAAAGAGAAAGTCCCGTTCAAACACAGCATTTGCCTATGAACTGCTGCTTTTCAGAACAAACTTACGTGTATACGCTTTCCGGAATATTCCAATTTAAATTCTACAAATTATTAGTCACAACCTTTACGTCTTACTATCTCCTACTTTTAATATCACACCTCTGATTCGTCATATCCATTTTAACGGTAACATTCTACCTTAAGTAGTTCTCGAACTATTTACTAGGTGAAGGTTTGTATAAAGAAATAGGTGGTCGAATATTGCAATAGGATTTTTTTCTAATATTCGAGTTAATCACTGCAGTCAACAAAACGACGCTGTGCAAACTTCTTCTGATCTAAAGAAATGATTTACAGACCTGCATACTTATATAGAAATAAGCAAAGGTTCAGAAACAATTTTTATAGGCACACATGCGTATTGCAATTCTATATGACGCTTGTCTTCTTTATTCTACAGTTACATTCTAAAGAGTTAGTATGGTTACCATTTAATGGCACCTTGAAATCCAGGATTCGACATCATGGCTTTTACGTTGTTTAAAACAGATTAAGTATGTGGAATGCATACTAAAAATTAGGTCAATTGAAAGGCATGTTTAGATACGGAAGAATATGAACAGATAGTCAAAGGGAAAGGTTGATATTAACTGCAAATTTGATTAATAGCAAAAACGGAAAAAAACTGGTTGCGACACATGTTTTGCCAAGAGGCATGAATCAATGATTTATTTTTTAGCAATGAGGAGGATATAATCATTAGCTTTCAGTGACACTAAAAAAACTCATGTCAGTCTTGATTTTACATCTGAGCATTATAGTTGTCGTTCAGGAGACTATATAATTTTTGGTATGAACTTGAACTATTGAGAGTGAATAATGCTTTCTTTTTTGGGGGACTGAAAATCAATTTAAGAATATGAGACACACATTCGATTAATATTTCGTTGTAAAAGTCCTGAATAGGACCCGCTTTCGTTTTTGAATCAATAAACAATGGAATTAAATATAAAGAGAGTTAATGTTTAATTTGATTGACACATGAATTTGAAAAGTCATGTATCAACTCCTCGAGTAAGTTGCTAAATAGCAACGTAGAATAGACCCTCTAGCTCTGATATGTAACCAGTTGAAAAGAAGGAAAGAGCTTTATTTTTTACTCAAGAATAATCATGTTAATGCAAAATTATCAGGTATTAAAAAAAAGGACGTTGTTCAACTCCTTCACGAGGATTAGAGTTATAAAAAGCAAAAATAGAATATTTTATAATGGTAAAAAAAATAAAACTAAATGAATACAATGAAAAGAATGATAAAAGCCATAAAACAGAGAAAAATAGAAAAGGAAAAGAGAGAATGAAGACAGTGAAGAGAGAGATAGTTAAGAGAGATAGAGAGAAAATGTTAGTAAATGAATTTACATAAATAAATGTAATAAAAAATGAACAGAGAAAAATGTCTGAATTCGCCAAAGAAACGAAATGAATATGAAAAAGAGGATATCAGAAAGAATGAATATAAAAAGAAGGACAAGGAAAGAAAGGAAAGAAAAAAAGAAGATATGGAAAGAATGATAAATAAGATAGGAGAGTAGTGAATAGAAAAAAGAAAGAAAGAATTACAAGTGAGAGATAAAGAGAAAGTTGAAGAGGTAAGACAGGAAAAATAAAAAGGAGAGAGGGAGCGAGATAGAGAGAGAGAGAGAGAGAGAGGGAGAGATGAATGAAACGAAGTAGAGAAAGAACAGGAGACAAATATAAAGAGAGATAAATTGTCTTGCACAGATGTACGAACTCGGAAAGTTAAGAGCAAATATAAGCCATCATTCAATCGTACATAGACACATAGTGGAAAGGTTTTATATATCAGAAATATATTAAGTAGTCTTGTGTCTGGCTTGTCCCATGGTGAAAGTTATCTGAAATGCGTTTTTTAAAACATTATAAAAACATTTATTCTTTTCCCTCTGTCGTTTCTCTGTTTCTTGGAATGCCAGTCCGTGTAAGTATGAGCTTGCTTACATATATGTAAATTTATCAGAAGATGGTGTACGACATTGTGAGTATAAAATGGCTCCTTTCCAAAAACGGGCTGAGTGGTTGGGCAACGATCGAAGCAAGCATGATTACTGTTGCGAAAGCAATCGGTTTTCGAATATTGCTAAGAGTTGGCTTTTTGAAATTTTGGAGCTTGTGACTCATTGCCATTTTATAGGTTAGCGCAGAAAACGTTTCTTTGATCCAGAGTAGCTATTACATCTGTGGTCTTATAAAATCTACGATAGGTAATATTCTAAATGTATGTAAGATTTATTTGTATACAAATATTTAGCAAAATTCTAAATGTTATTAATAAAATAGCACTTAGCACTCCCGATGTATCGCGTGCTGGGACCATGACATTCTTTGACAGATGCACGTCTCTGTTACCTTGAATGTTTTCTCATTCGTTAAGAAAATGTTCAGTTTCACTATATGATAGGGTAGACATCAGACAAGTCTAACATACTTTGTGTCCTTACACGTTATTTGAAAAACAGAACTATATTTCCCTTTCGTTTTATTACCAACGCGAATTTCTTCATTTATTTAAATTTAATTGTGATGTCCGCAATTTGTAAAAAACAAAAGAGTACTTCACTAGAGAATCATCTGAGGATAGCTACTTGAAATTTGTAATGGTAGTAATTTCTCGTTGATATTTGTGGATTGTATTTCGGTTCTGATCTAAACGTATATTTTTACTGTATTTCCTCATCTAAGCTGTTGAGAAATTTGGTCTCTTCTTAGGTACATTTCATTGATGTTCGTTTCTTTTCTTTACATGTGGCGCGATGGTTTTTCCCTAATTATTTGGATTTGTTTTCTTCTTATGTGTTTGTATGGTTTAGAAACAAACTGCAAGTATTCAAGAAAGCAAAATGAATGACTTTCTTTTCATCTCATTAAAGAACGATAAAATACTAAGATTTTAAGAAAGTTTATGTAGAGAGTCGAACAAAAGTCTTTTCGGTAAGGAATGCAGGGTGCGAGGGATAAATTGTCGCCTACTTTACGCAAAAATGAAAATAACACTGACGTCTATGGCAGTTGTATTTATCAAAATTACAGAAAAATATCTTGAAATACTAAAGAGTAAATTTATTCAATAAAATCGCCATTGGCTTCAATCGCGGCCTCCAGGTCATTTCGGAATCTCCTGCATCTCTTCTGGACGGTCTTGTTTAAGTTGGTGAATGATGCCATAATCATTACCTTCAGTTCATCTTCGACGTTACACGCAGTTTTGTTGATCTCTTGCTTAACTTCACCCCACACATAATAATCAATGGAGGTTGAAGTCTGGGGAGTTAGGTGGTCAGATGTAGGCGTGATCTGGTCGCAGAAATTGTCTGGCAGCCATTACTGGGTTTTCCTTCTTGTGTGCCATGGTGCAGAATTCTGTTGCCACACATAGGTTTCTTTCAGCAGCCACCTTCTTGAGTCAGGGTAACACTACCTCCTGAAAAGCACTTGTAGGCCACCGAGTTGAATCTGAGGCCCTGTGGCAAGATCAATGGAGGCATAACGTCGTCATCATTACTGATCACAACAAAAACCATGATGTTAATTGGATATATCATTCTCTGTAATGTCCGCAGATTGACACACAAACACTCTGAAATGTTCGTATTTGAGCTCCCGGTGCAAATGCCAAGAAGTACAGCGTGCCGTTTCCAATCTTCTGGCGGAGTAAATTGCGTCATGGTGCTCTTTTTATCCCATACGGGGCCCAACTGAAGCTTCTATACTGCGCAGGCGACGAAATTAGTAACAACACGCAGGCGCGAAATTAAAAATATAAAATAGCGACAATTTACCCATCGCACACTGTTTTTTTATCTCTTTTAAATCCTGTTCCGCCGTTTATTTATTCAAGCTCCCTAGATAGATTATGCCTTCATTTCATCTGTTGTTCTTGCTCTCAAACTGTCCTGTGAATATCAAATTTTTCTAAGCCCTCTTTCCTCATTATGTGACCTAGACATCTTAACTGGTTCTTTCTAGTGTTAAGTATACGCGTCTTTTTTGTTTCCATCTCGTTTAAAACTTCGCCGTTGTTCACAGTTCCTGTCCATAATATTCTCGGCATACTTCTGTGGAACCACATCTCTGTAGCTTCAAGTCTCTTCGTCATCTGTAAGGAGACTGTCCAGTAATCACAATGCAGTCATTTACACTGGCAACATAATCATAAAGAACTCATTTCCAGTTCGCGTTTTGTGTGTTCGGCTCTTCTCAGTTATAAATGAACTTTGTTTCTCCTCTTTTCATTTTTGTCCCTTTGTATTTTGCATTCCCACTTAAAAATATCGTTTGCGCAAATTTTGTCTGTCCTTCGGTGCGTCTGAAAGTCCTCTAACTAGGGACACACTAGTTCTCTATAGATATATACTTTTTGGGAATCGGGATGATCCCTGGATTGAAAATCTGCCCTTCATCTGGTGCTTGAACATTAAGAATTGGGATTTGTGTCAGGATGATGAGGAAGAAGTTAAAAATTCAAATTTTAAAATAACTGAAAAAATAGTGATTTTAAAATTTTTGATTTATATTGAGTTTAATGTAGCATTAAAACTCTGTGCATTTAAAGATTTTTGTTTTAAATTTAGTTTGAAATATCTCCAATATTTTGTGAATAGAGGAAATCAGTTTTATTTCTTCAAAATACCAAGGAATCAGAGTTAAAACGATAGGTTTCGTGACGTGAGGTTTTGGAGTTCCGAAGAATTTTTGATTTGAAGAAATCAACTTAGTTGAAGTTCCACGAAGTTTATGATTTGAAGAACTCAATGTTCGGCCCGAATCAGAATTTCAGCTCATGTTGGACTTTTATCCCAAATTGGTTTTCGTTTGGAATTAAACTTATAGCCTGAATCAGAGTTAAAATGAAGTTTTGAAGTTGCAAGGAGTAAATTGAGGAATTCAAAGTTATATTCAACAAAATTATCATTTCTACTTTAAATGCTGGATAACAGCCCCGCCCCTACTTTTAGATCGGGGACTCATTTTGCCCTCAACGGGAGCTAGCTTAAAAGTCCGCATAAATTACGATTTTAAGCTAGTTGCTAATGAGTCAGAGCCTTACAAAGCGGTCAAACTTTTTTCGACTTAACCTGGGCAGTATTTAGACGGTCGTATATTCCAAATTCCCTTTTTATTTTGCTCAAATCCTTAGAATTCAATATCTGCTTCAAGTCGAGCTATTTTTATTGAACCCACATTTATTTATCACCTTATCAAGACTAGCATATTTTACCACTAAAGTACAATGTAAATTCAAATATGAAGCACTAATTCTTCTGCTATTTTTAAGGAATATTTATCTCGAAAGTGAAGGATTCTGCATTGCAAGTTCAAGTTTTAACTTGATTAGATTTCTAAGAATTGGTGCCTAAAATAAAATTGCCATCATTGTAACCATCGAGCAAATATTTATTTTTCGCTTACTTTTTATCATCTTTTTACTGTTTTTATGTTTGTTATTTTTGTTGAATGTTGCGATGCTTTTGAAGTTTTGCATTGTTACCCGTGTGCTCTTTCTGCATTGTTTCTTTACTCTTTATTAGACTCACCCACCTTTTTCATGGCAAAAAGAAAGCACAAAATATTCCCATTTGCAGCTGACATAATTTATTCTAGGATGCCAAAGCCAAAATATAGAACCCGTGATGGAAGCTCTTTTACTGCGCTGAGGCTAGACCGAACATTGTTCTCTAAACACAGAAGCCTTTCGCCAGAGATTTTCGTGAATGGCTTTCAATACAATTGCCGCCATTTTTCCGATACAAATTCTGCTTCCCGGCTTTTAAAAGCCACTTCTCACTGTCTCGCTCTTTTATATAAATAAATAAAAAAACAATCATAAAATAAACGCATTTCCTTCGCAAATTGGAAACCATGTTTCATTTTTCTATATATATTTGCTGAAGTTTTAATATTTGTCCTTTAAAATCGAAAGGTTGTTTAGTTTTCTTTCCTTTCAGGTTTTAATAATAATAATAATGAGAATAAAGATAAGATTCTGTGGAATATTTCAATGCGTCGAGTCGACAGCATTACTGAAAATAGCTATAATATGAATAAGGTGTTTGGGTGTAACTGAAGAGACTTGCTGTCGCAAAATAATCAATATAAGCCACCAGTTACTTCTGGCGTGCACGTTGAATAAGTGAATCTAATATTTTAAAAAATACACTAAGTACGGAGTAGCAAATATTGCCTATGACTAAGACAGAGATTAAACCGTCAATCGTATAAGTAAAAACGTAAAATATTCAAAGTTCGAAAAAGAAAAGGAGTACAACATAAGAAAAAGAAAAGGAGTACGAAAAAAGAAAAGAAACGGAATACAAAAAAAAAAAACAAAAAAAAAAACAAAGAGAAAATAGTATAAAAAAGAAAACCAATAAGAGTACAAAAAAGAAAAAAAGAAACGGAGTAGAAAAATAAAAAGAGAGGAGTACGAAAAGTAAAAGAGTAAAAAAGAGAAAATGACGAGGAATACAAAAAAGAAAAAAAAGAAAAGGAGTACAAAAAAGAAAAAAAAGAAAAGGAGTACAAAAAGTAAAGGAGTGTAAAAAAGAAAAAGAAATGTGTAGAAAAAAAGAAAAAAAGAGGAGTACGAAAAAGAAATGGAATGCAAAAAAGAAAAAGAAAAGTTGTACAAAAAAGAAAAAAAGAAAAGGAGTATGAAAAAGAAAAAAAGTAAAGCAGTACAAAAAGAAAAATAGAAAAGGAGTACAAAAAGGAAAAAAAAGGTGTACAAAAAAGAAAAGGAAAAGAAGTACAGAAAAGAAAAAAATCGTACAAAATGAAACGGTGTGTAAAAAAAAAAGAAAAAAAAGAAAAGGTGTACAAAAAAAGGAAAAAGAAAAGGAGTATGAAAAGGAAAAGAAAGAAAAGGATTAAAAAAATAAAAAAGCAAAAAGAAGTACAAAAAAGAAAATGAAAAGGTGTATATAAAAGAAAAGGATAGCGAGAAAGAAAAAGAAAATGAGGAGAAAAACGAACGTAACTTTATAGCAATAAAGATTGTCTTGAAAATCTACAAATGACTAGAATTCGACAATGGAAAAAAGTGTCGAGGTGTGACAATAGAATTCGTTGATTGGTTGTAGCGTGTCACTGGAGGAATTAGTCAGGAAATATATTCACGTTACACTCTTGGTGAAAACGAATCTAGAGCAGCAGTTTAACATTAAATTTTGCATGGAAATTGTTAAAAGCAGTGGTGAATCGTTATTAGTAATGAAGGATGACATAAGAAGTAGACAGCCAAAAAAAAAACACCCAGGAAAGGATGCAAATGCGAAGAGAGTTCAAATCTTGGTGCGTTCAGGTCGAAGTGTGCGTCTGGTAACTGAAGAAGCAAAATATGTATAGGCTATCAATGTAGACGAATCAGACGCATACTTTGTGAATGAGGAAAATATGTATTCAAAGTTTGCCATTTCATAGCTGAGAAACCTATTATGAAGACGGGTCATCCACCTTACTCACAAAAATTAAATCTCAGAAATGCTAGTCTGCTGATATCCCGGAATCCAGCAACACGTAAATACATTCTTCTTCTATATGCCGTGTTCATGGCTCTCCACGATTTCCTGTTCTTTGTAGCGCTTAATAAATTTTGACTTTTTGTTATGTCCCTTAAACCTTGCCCCTCCATCCATTCACTCAAGCTTAAGATAGATTATGCGTTGTTTTCCTCTGTTTCTCTTCCTTTCAACCTGTCCTGTGAGTATCAAATTTTCCAAGCCCTCTTTTCTCATTATGTTCTCTAGAAACATTGATGTTTGTTCCTGATGTTAAGTATAAGAGTCCTTTCTCTTTACATTTTCTCTAAAACTTCGTCGTTGCTTACATGTCTATGAAATTCTTAGTATCCTTCTGTAGAAGAACATTTCTGTTGCTTCAAAGCTTTTGAATTGATTGTCCAGCTTCCACTGCCATATAGGAGGATTGATATTACATAACATTAGAGTACTATTTACTTTGTTTCTAACGACGGTTTTCTGTTTCTTAATACTTTACTTAGCTTTTAGAAGGTATATTTTGCTATATAAATGCGTCTTCGGATTTCAGTATCACACTTTCCGTCCCCTGTGAAAACACTACCCGGATATTTAAGTTGCTGTACTTGTTTGGTATTTAATTTACATATTGAGCTACTCCTTTTGCTAATAACCATAAATTATGTTTTTTTGCAATTGATGTTTAGTCCTTTCTTCTCGATTTCCTTCACTACCTGTTGTAGGAGTTCTTGTAGTTTCCTTTCTGTTTCTGCTCTCAGCATTGTGTCATGTGCATATCTTATGTTGTTAAAATTGTGGACGCTAATAATGAATCCTTGTCGTACAGGATTTTCTATTTTTATACATTTATTGAACTCATTTTCTATTAATAAGCAGGCAGTTTGCGCCAGTATATATTCTGGGTTATTCTAATATCTTACTTATTATAAAAACGCAGATTGTGTGTGTGTGTGTGTGTGCGTCTGTACGTTTATATATTGGATCGGATTTTCCTACATTTTTCAACTGATTTCAACAAAACTTCACAGGACTGCGTAAAATTACCTTGCAGTGGTTCTGACAGCGCCAAAAATTGGAAAAACACAATTGTTTTTGCACGAAATCAATTTGAAAACACGATTAAGTCGCCAGAATGAAAGGGGGACAACTCATATCGAGTTATACTTATTATAAAACCCAGGTTGTTTGTGTGTGTGTATGTTTCTTTATATATGGGATCGGATTTCCTACATTTTTCAACCGATTTCAACAAAACTTCACTTTTTTTTGGCAGGTAGTGTTTCTTATTGTCTTGCACACTTTTTTCTTTATTTTTACATTCAGAATGCTTTAAAAATTCCATTTACAAGACAATTGTTTATAATAAAATTCTATTCACCAATCGATAGACTCATAACGATTGAAAACAATGTTTTTGTTTGAATTTGGGTTTGACCAATTCGTAACACCCCAAAAAAAACCCAAAACTAATTGAGACATGCGTGTCCGTCAACCTTAAACAATAATCTTTGTCAATTTTATTTTTCAGTCTTTATGATGGTCGATACTTGATCTATCTCTTACTGTTACATCCCCGGGCAACGCCGGGCTCTACTGTTAGTCTTTACTAAATACGATAGGCTTTAAAGTTCATAGGCTTACTATGAAGGAGTGATACTTGATCTCTGAAATCCTACCTGCATTAGTTTAAACTGGTCTTTTTTATATTTTTTTGAATCATATCACCCCATGCAATGTAATGAAGCCACTAACACACAAGGATTTACTGAGTGTGAAAGCACAAAGAAAAAAGCAAAACAAAAACAAACAAACAAAAAAACAGAAACATTGGGCAGCGAGAAGAATAGAAGACTGATCAAGACAGTAGATATCGTTTAACATTGTGTTTGAGTTTTGAATATCAAATTTGGCTAGAAAGTATGAAGCAGGAAGACAGTTCAACTAACAAGAAATTTGAGAAATGAAAGTTAGCATAGAGCTTACGGTTACATCTAGCCATTTCAACTGTGAATTGATGAGACATTTCCGCCAATCTAGGACTGTGTTTAAATTATTAAAGTTTATATATACATCTGAAACATTTCCATGAAAGTATTTATAGAAACGGCAGAGTGAAGTTATATTACAGCGATGGGAAAATGATTAATATGAATAATGCAGCTGATTATTCTTTGGATTTTATCAAGAATCTTTGAGTACACAGCAGGAGCACCAGGCTATATATGACAGCGGTTTTAAAAGCAAGGACGAATGGAAGACTTATAAATATGTAAGATAGATTCTGGAGAGAAAAATGTCTAGCACTCAGAACACAATGAACTCAGTTTCTTAGCAGCAGACCTAACAATGAAATCCATATTGTCTTTCTATTTCATATCAGATTAGGAGGTTAGACCGAGAAGGCGCAGAGAGTTATTTTCATGGAGGAAATCGTCAGGCAGGAAGGAGTCTTTCACTTGATTAATAGCAGTAAGTTTCGTTTTAGAGGCTTTAAAATTAACAAGCTACTCCTTGCCCCCATTAACAAAACTGTAGATCATTTTTAGATCACCTGGCAATTTCACCTTATCGGACTGATCAGAAATCGAGACAAGTGTAAACGGTTGTGTCATTAGTATAGTGTTATATCCTTAAAGAAGGTTACAAACAGACAACAGTGGTACTCGTTTGAAGGAACATCAACACGCGCGTAGATGAATGGAAGAGAGGTTTATTGTAAAAGAGAATAAACTACTAAAAGACAGGAAATCGGGTAGCAGGCTAGTAATTTCTGAAGGAAGTCCTCAGGTATATCCTGTGCTCACTATATACATCTACTGATATAGTACGTCCACGTAGGCGATAAGTAGAGTGGGACATTCCGTTAAAACATATAGATACCAAGTTGAGAACTGATGTAGTCAGGAAGGTCTTTGATGAAAATTAAGACCAATGTTTGTCCAAAGATAGAATCCTGGGAGGACAAACAGATCTAGAAGTGTAGCTCTTCAGGAAAACTTTCATTTCGCGATTAGATAAGAAAGAGAGGATTTGTCAAAAATTCATTCAGAAATAACGCAGCATTGCAACTTTTGGAGAAAACTAGTATTCTAAACCCTGTTGAACGCTTTCGAGATGTCAAAAACAACAACCCGACCATCACCAGTGTTATCTAAATCTTAGACTCTTTCAGCAATAAACTTTAGTACAGCACCAGTTGACCTAAAGGTTCGAAAGCCATATTTCTTACGTGAAAGAAGGGCCTGTGCTGTGAGGTGCTAAACCAATTCCAAGTTGATTAGGGCCTCGAGAAGTTCTCCAAAAATCGATAGAACGATAATAGATCGATAGAGGGCTAAAACAGTTTACCTGACTTCTTAAAGGCTGGGACTACAGACGAGGATTTCCAATAAGCAAGAGGCAGTGAGGCATTTATTGTATAGTTTAGGGAGAACAGAAGCCAATTCGGGAACAATTATTGAGGACTATTACAGGGATGCAATCAGGCCCACATGTTTAGTGGGGATCCAGATTATGAATGATAGCAAAAACCATTGCATTGTTTCTTTCCAATTATACTGGTATCTGACTGTTCTAAGAAGGATGTCCATACTGTTGACCAAAAGTCATCAACTTGCAGATATAACATCATTATCACTAGTTCCCAACAATTACTTTTTCCTGTTGGGGGACTGAAATTAACTAGGAGAATAGGGAGGACCTTCAATCAGTTCAAAGACATCGTCACGCACAGCATCCATTGAAACCAAGGACATGCGTGCTGGCGCATTGACTCAAGAGGCCTTTCTTTAGTTTTTCTGACCGTTTGGTCTTTATAGACTATCGTAACCGCCTCAGCAATTGTCACACCATTAATGTAGAATATCTACATTGATAGTGTGACCCTTTTGTGTGATAACAAAGACGATACCTTTTGCATCCCAAAAGACTGAGTCTGTTTCTTTCGCCATAGATGAAACGACCTTAGCGTTCTTTGGAGCAAGTGAGGGCGGGTTTTTCCAATTCATGGATTGTCTCTGGCTCAAGGTGATGAACCCATCACTCATCCTGGGTTATGAAACGTTCAAGGAGACCAGTTATATTTAACTCAAACAATGTCAGATTTTCCCGTGATGTTATCAACTGATGAGCTTTTGATCAGGTGTCAGAAAACGCGGCATCCACCGAGCAGAAACCTTCATCAAGTACATTGTCCAGAATATTTTCAACTCTCTCCCAACCTATGCAAATAGTATTGGCTGCTTGATTAATAGTCAATTAGCTGTCATCCATCACCAAGTGGTGAATACGTTCAGTTTTATTCTCTGTGATGGCAGATGCAGGATGTACAGTCTTTTGGTCACCTTCAAGATTCTTCATTCTTCTTATAAATTCAGCTGCTTACTTTACACTGTTGATAAAACTGGAGTATCATCCCCTAATGTATCAACCATATCAGCATGTAGGCTGCTAAACTACTTTTTCTCCAGGCACTTGATAACACCATGATGCCAAATTTTGTCCATTTTCAAGAGAAGTCGCTACTAGTTACTTCTGAAGTCTTCTTTGAACACTCAGATGCCAGAAAGAAATAATGCAGTTATTAATAAGAAGAATTGAAATTAATGTGTGCAAAATTCCACAACTCTAGCGTCACTCCTTCATAGTCAGTCTATCAACTTCTCAGCCCACCATTGTATGTCAAGGTTACCTAGCAGTTCCTACAGTTGCTTTATCACGTAAATGCTTTACTAAAGATTATTCTGGAAAACGAGTCGCCATCGTTTCAGAAAGAACTTAATTTCTCAAGGCGAATGTTTTTGAGGTGATGGTAGTCAATACTAAACCTCCGCAAGGTTATTCTGGGAAATAAATCATTAAGTAGAAGTTCCTAGAAAATAAGAAAATATATTAGAGGGACTTGGAAATTCAAAGATGTGGAATACAAAACAGATCATGTGATTGGAAACAAAATAATATTCGTCATTCTGTGAATGTTGCTGTTTGATAGTATACAAAAGAAGTTAAATTTGAATGCAATGCTGAAGACTATATAAATTTCGGGAGATTTGATAAACATCCTAGAACACAAGATTACTAGTTAGACCTAATATTATCGAAGCATACTGTAATGTTATCGATCTTTCTCACCGACGTGAAGTGGCTTCCCTCTGTATAAAGATTTTAATGGCAATAGTTACGATGAGCTTGGTGTCTCGAATGTCTGGATTTAAGGATGCTACTTTTTCTATTTATTGTATTCCTTTCTTTCTTGTACTCCTTTTCTTGTTTTCTTTTTTGTACACCTTCTCTTTTATTTTTGTATTCTTTTTCTTTTTCGTACTCTGTTTGAATATTATGCCTTTTTGTTTTTATGATTCTCATTTAAGTTGTTGTACTTGTTTGATATTGATATCTCCAATTTGTAATTCGCATGTTGGCGTATTTGCTGATAAATATACATTCTGTCTTCTTGCAATTGATGTGTAGTCCTTTCTTCTCGCTTTCCTTCACTAACTTCTGTAGCAGTTCTTGTAGTTTCCTTTATGTATCTGCTACTAAGATTGACAACAAGATCTGACCGTTTTATTTTTGAACTAACTCGACGAAACCGTATGTTCTATTTGAGTGGTTCCTTTTCTCGTACTTCTTGCTTGTGGAAGTCGCTTCTAATTCCTTGTATCCATGTCAACTACAATCTTCAAATATTTAAATGTAATGAAAATCGTCAAATTCTGTCTTCCTGAAACCTGTTCTTTTATTGTCCTTTCTATTCACTTCTTTTCAATGAAGTTTTCTCATTCTCTTTCCCTCCCATGCTTTCTAGTCTAAATGATGTAAAGTGAAATATAGGAAAGACTCTAAGAAACATGAAAGAAGAATGGGAAAAGTTAAAAACCTGTGGCTAAATTTAAACTATTTAATCAAGGGCGTTTTAAATCGGCAAGTATATTAAGGATAATACTAGCTTAAGCTGTAGACTTGTTGTCTTTCGATCTTCAATGAAGTCCAGCATATATTCTTTTATGTGCCACATCTCGTTAGAATATTGGCGATCATGGCTCTCCACAAATTCCTATCCTTTATAGCTCTTAGTAGCATTTTCCTTTTCGTTTCCTCTCCCAACACCTGTTCTGCCATTCATTTACACATACTTGCTAGGTAGGTTACTCTCATTACTTTCTTCTGATCCTCATGTCCTGTGAGTGTCATATTCCCCATTTCTTCTTTCCTCATTACGTACCCTAGAAATTTTAGTTGTCGCTTTATTCTAACTAAAAGTGTCTATTTTGTTTCCCTTTTCCATAAAACTTCTTCGTTACTCACATGTTCACTCTACGCTATTCTCAGCATCATTCTGTAGAACCACACTTCTATTGCCTCAAGTCTTATCTTCATCTGTTAGGAGATTCTAAAATATACACTGCCATAGCGGAAGACTGATATTATGAACCGGATTAATACTGTTTTCTTTGCTTCTTACGAAATTTTCATGTATCTTTTGGAAGGCACTTTTTGCTATTCCAAAAAGCCCCCTGATTCCGGCGTCATATTTTGTATCTTTTATTAAAACTTTTCCCAGATATTTTAAAATTTTCCTATTCATAGTTAGCATATTGAGCTATTCCATTTGATGACGACCATACATTCTGTTTTCGTACAAGTGTAGTTTAATCTTTTCTTTTCGATTTCTTTCACTATATTCTGTCGAAATTCCTGCAGTTTCATTTATGTGTCTGCTATCAGCACTGTATCGCTTGCATGTTTTATGTTGTTAAGATTGTGTCCACAAATAATAAATCCCAGTAGAACTTCCAGTTCTCTTAGGATGCTATCGATGTAAAAAAATAAGTGCGGTGCAAAAACATTGTCTCATGCACGTATGTGAAAACACAAAAAGCACAAAAATAAATACTGATATAATTGTTTTATAACTTCTCATTTTCTTAAGATGCCAACATGAAGATTCCTTAATTGTAATGCAGGTCAAAATGTAGATTACCACTTCTCTGTTTCTATACTCAGTTTCTTTACCACTTATCTTGTTACTGGTGTCCAATACAACCTCACATAATAAATTTGCTTTTTTTTTTAAAGCAAGAAAAATCAATGTATTCTCAATATTTTTTAATTGATTTTCCATGGGCGGCCTTCAGGAAATACAATCTAGTTTTCCGAGCATTTGTTGTTCACTTTTAAATTCTTTTCACAATGTACCAAATCCTGTCGATGATGCATATCTCCTTTGATGAAACTCCAGAAGACATTTTCAATACATTCTTTCATAATGCCTCAAAGTTTCTCAGCGGAAATCAGGTTAGATGAATTTCCTGGTGTCCTACGAAATCTGTCTAATCAGAAGAAATTCAAACATATTTTCAACGCTGCAGGCTCTATCCAATTCTTTATCAAAGAATTGGCCATCAAACTATATAAAAAATGGCAAATCTTTATATTTGTGTACGGCTCGTATGGTTCATACAAACCCGCTATAAAACGGCAATAGAATCTGAAACGACCACGTTAGGTTGCATCAAAAGTAAAATACAAAGACATTATAGCGTAAAACATCCAGCTGTTTAAAGAATAAGAGATACCATTTAACGTTGAAATAAGTAAATACCTAGTGTTAGCATAATAGATCTGTAAAACATAAAAAAACGCTTATATAGCAAATAGTAAACGAATAATCACTTGAAGATTTATGGTGTTGGTATTTTTCTTTTATTCACTAGAATTTGTCAACTGATTAATTGTATTTTGCTAACTAACCAAGAGCTACTATTGAAAAGTTTTCGACCCAAACAAACAAGGCTTTAAAAACCTGATATTTCGTCAGATGTGGGATCGAGAAATTTTCAGTTGTCCTATGTATATAATGAGAACTCCGTGATGTTGTGCCTTGTATAGTAGTCACGATGGTTATCTTTTGTAAAAGGAAGAACATGTGACGAGGGGCGATCTCTTGTAGACAACAGAAAATTTTCTTCACACCTTCTGTTTCCTCAATTTTGTTTTTCTTTCTACTTTCTTGTTTTGTTTTTATTTATTGTTATTTTCCGTTTCTGTATGATTGTTCCTCACTTCTTATTGATTCCGTTAAAAATTACCCAGTAATAAATTTTTCCTTCATCTTTTTGCTTTTCTTCTTCACAGATCAACTTTTTCTTTCTTGTTCTGTCTTTTTCTTTCTTTATTTCATTTACCTCTTCCTTCTTATAAGTTTCCTTTCATGTCTTTCTTGTTTCTCGTAGTTTTTACTCGAGCTATGCATTTTCTTTTTTTTAACTGATTTTTTCCTTTTCTTCTTTTGATGTACTATTCTCCTTTATTCTTTTCATTGTTGTCTAATCCTTTACTCTTTCTTCTACTTTTTACGCTCTCTTTTTCTTTTCTATTTACAACAAATCACTCTTGTCGCACTTTAGCAGTAAACAGTAAAAAATATGAGCTGCATGATTTATTGCAAGTATGGTCGCCATGTTTTCGTAAGACTTGCGTTGCACTTACTGAAAATGAAAACCAGCAGACGACAACTAATAAAGTCATGAACGTTGCTCAGCAACAGTTGACGTCACCACGACAAATACTTTTAATGTAATGCAAAGAAACACACAGAAAAACTTTTTCACCTCCACCTCCATAATTATCATAATTGTCATTATTAATAATACTTGTTATTTATTGTTTAAAATATATACTTTTATTCTTTCACGATTATTCTATTTACACCTAAATTATAATGTTATTTCTTCTTCTTCTTCTTCTTCTTCTTCTTCTTATTATTATTATTATTATTATTATTATTATTATTATTATTATTATTATTATTATTTTTCCTTAATTTCTGTTGTATACACATTTCTTTCGGCAGAGACCCAATATCATAAATGGCTTCATGACATCTTCCATTGATCATTTTTTGTAAAAAAATTAAAAAAACCTAAGATCTTTGTAATGTGAGAGCTGTACTTGTGAGTACTTTCTTGTATTTCTTTAAGGAATGGGCTACCAGGAATCCTTTCAATGAGTTTATTGGGACCTTTTCCAGTCAATTCGAGGGGTTCAACTAGAACTGGAGTTTTTGATGTCTTCATATGTCACTTTTTTTTTAGATTTCCACTTCAAGATTCTTGTATTTTTTTCTTAAAGATCTTCAAAGATACATTAAAATCTGCGGGGACTGCCATGTTAATTAGAAAAGCGCGTTCTATTTTTGTGGACATTGATCACGATGTCTGGGCGATTAGCTTTGAATGTTCAGTCGGTATGTATTGTAAAGAATCCATAAAATTGTTACAAGTTCTCTCACTGTAACCAGTTTCCTTCACGTAAAAGTTGCATATGTTCAAGTGCAGATAATTGCCCCATGCAGAGTTCTATTTTCAGTGGGTGCTAATACTGTGCAACATGATACAAGATGGTCAGAATTTTTTGAATATTTATCACAGAATCTGCATTTATTATTATTATTATTATTAATTGGTTGTCTTTAATTATAAGCTGTTCTTAAAAGACTTGGATAGTACCTATAATTTGGTAGTGGCGAAGATTTGGTAGTGCTTAGTTGGGATGATTGGGTTATGCAAGATTACTTTGGTTATAGCACCAATTCTTATTGTTAAGTGGTTGACGTGAAACAGTTTCCAGTTCTCTTGTGTCCTCTTCATCACTAAGTGCATCATCTTGCACAGGAGCATCATAAGCTGAATCCTCGTAAGGGTTAAATCCACGGTTTATTTTCTTGCCATTAACCCTTTACCAGATTTTGTATTTTAGGTATCTGAGTTGAACAACTTACTAGTTCAATCTTCTTTTTCTGAGGTCAGCGTCTTACAACAGTTTCTGGATTGTTTTTTCTAGTAGAACGAAAAGAGATTTAGAAAATATTGATGAAATTGCAAGTGGTATCAAACCTGACCAATCCGACGAAGTGTGCAGGGTGTCGTACATACTAGTGAAGAAGATACTGGAGGACTAGAAACTGCTTGATGTCAATCCCTTAACCATCGGAATTGAGAGAATTGTTGGCGTTATTACCAAACTTATGTCGCGTAACATTGTCATCCCAAATCTTACGACCTCAGATAACCAACACGCATTTATTATCCAAGGACAATGGCCTATTATTATTATAATATCATCATCATTATTATTATTATTATTATTATTATTATTATTATTATTATTTATTATTATTATTATATATAATAATAATAATAATAATTATTATTATTATTATTATTATTATTATTATTATTATTATTATTATTATCTTCCTTATACCCAATCCTATAACTAAATTATTGTAATTAGTTGAGTTATTGGCCTTTTTCCTGTTTTGTATACTGTTATTCTAAATTTCCTTGATTTTCCTGCTGTGCTTTGAATGTTTTTATATTTTCAGTTGAACAATGGCCATGATTATCTTCATAATGGGAATATGATGATTTTACTCCCCAGTTAAAATAGCTGTCATTAAATTTAATACTATAGTCATAATGTATTTGTACTTCTTTCGAAAATTGATCGTTCGCATATTTGTATAATCGCCATAATAATCACAAGCTGGTATTGTTTTGAAGTAAGAATTTATTTGAAAGAAGCAGGTCCGGCATTATCCAGATTTCTACAGTTTGGTTTGGGGAAAAGCGAAAATCATTCAGATTGATAAATATTTGGATCTCTAAGCTTCACCCTCGAATGTATATTCGATTTATTACTTTTATTTCTTTTCAAGCTTTCGATTTCTCAATCATCTGATGTTATTTATTTATTTTCTGTTTTCTTACTGTTTTATTACTGTTTTATTAAATCATTTCTGATATTCTTCCGTATTTGTAGAAGTTATTTACATCCGGATTTATACTGAGGATACCAGAGATCGAACATGTTAGCAATAAAAATGTTTTATCCAAAATCGGAACGAAAAGGGATTTTAGGGAAAATGAGAACAAAGAAGTAAACTTATACAGGGTGTCTTTCATAGGAAAGCGGATTGACTATATTTTTTTACCTCCGAAGATTAAACATGGTTTTGTCGAAAGAAGAAAGAATTGAACATGACTTCTTTTTCTGTGGTATGATAAAGGAGAAAGTGTGCTCTATGAAAATCACAGATGGGACATGACATATAAAAGAAGTTGTTAGATATATTTGCTGATTCCAACATTTAAGAAGCAAAATCTTCCTCACATCACAAAATAAATACTTTTCTATAATAATATCAAGAGCATCATTAAAAAGAACATTGTTAAATAGATTTCTAACAATCTTTAAACGTAGTACTCACAGTCATGTGTGGTCATTTTACAAGGGAAGCTGGTAAAAATCGAGTGATAACCATTGGTGATAAAAATCGAGTAATAAGCATTGCTGGTAAAAATCGAGTGATAACCATTGCTGGTAAAAATCGAGTGATAACCATTGATGATAAAAATCGAGTGATAAACATCGCTGGTAAAAAATCGAGTAATAACCATTGATGATAAAAATCGAGTGATAACCATTGGTGATAAAAATCGAGTGATAACCATTGCTGGTAAAAATCGAGTGATAACCATTGGTAATAAAAATCGAGTGATAACCATTGCTGGTAAAAATCGAGTGATAACCATTGGTGATAAAAATCGAGTGATAACCATTGCTGGTAAAAATCGAGTGATAACCATTGGTAATAAAAATCGAGTGATAACCATTGCTGGTAAAAATCGAGTGATAACCATTGGTGATAAAAATCGAGTGATAACCATTGATGATAAAAATCGAGTGATAACCATTGGTAATAAAAATCGAGTGATAACCATTGCTGGTAAAAATCGAGTGATAACCATTGCTGGTAAAAATCGAGTGATAACCATTGGTGATAAAAATCGAGTGATAACCATTGATGATAAAAATCGAGTGATAAACATCGCTGGTAAAAATCGATTGATAACCATTGATGATAAAAATCGAGTGATAACCATTGATGATAAAAATCGAGTGATAACCATTGATGATAAAAATCGAGTGATAAACATCGCTGGTAAAAATCGAGTGATAACCATTGATGATAAAAATCGAGTGATAACCATTGGTGATAAAAATCGAGTGATAACCATTGATGATAAAAATCGAGTGATAAACATCGCTGGTAAAAATCGAGTGATAACCATTGATGATAAAAATCGAGTGATAACCATTGATGATAAAAATCGAGTGATAACCATTGCTGGTAAAAATCGAGTGATAACCATTGGTAATAAAAATCGAGTGATAACCATTGCTGGTAAAAATCGAGTGATAACCATTGATGATAAAAATCGAGTGATAACCATTGGTGATAAAAATCGAGTGATAACCATTGATGATAAAAATCGAGTGATAACCATTGCTGGTAAAAATCGAGTGATAACCATTGGTAATAAAAATCGAGTGATAACCATTGCTGGTAAAAATCGAGTGATAACCATTGGTGATAAAAATCGAGTGATAACCATTGCTGGTAAAAATCGAGTGATAACCATTGGTGATAAAAATCGAGTGATAACCAATGTAGCATTTATATTGTTAAAATCGGAAATTTGAACTGAATTTGAGTTCACACGCTAAAATTTGCGTAAATATAGACGGCGTGCGTTAAATACATTTGAACTCTAAGGGAATCTTTACCATTTGAGATTAAAATATATTTTTTCAGTCGTAGCGCGTTGGGTTCAAACTTTGGAATATGAACAACAGAAATGTCATATTGGTTGTTTCCCGATTTTCTATATACTTTTATTTTGGCCCTGAGACACACATTTGAATAATTTAAGTCCAGTCACACGAGACCCATCTTTCCAGGCAATACTTTTTACGGTAAAGACTAAAGTCATTACTTGGTGCACGAAGCGAACTCAGCATGTCGAAGAGACTGGGCGATTTTAAACCTCTGGTTTTATGTAAGAGTATTCGTTTTCACTCGGCTTTGCGCAGCATTCTGTCTATCGGGCATTCGGAAAAACCTCGCATTTTTCATGAAAACAACCAACCCTGGTCGAAATTACGTGTAAAAAGACACAAAATATTGGTACCCTCTTTTACAAGTTTTCTATCTGACGTTAATAACAACACAGGAGATATCGCATACGAAGCTGGACCAAAAACCTCATAGACTCATTATGAAGACGTGATAATAGAGCTGCGAAATTTTACATTAATTTAAACTCTTTGTATTAATAACATTATTCTATACTTTTGGTCGTGTGCCACATCTAAACTATGCTCAGAAAACCACTTATTCTCGTTTTATACACATCGGTCAATCGTCAAAGTCTGGACACAGGAAATATCATTAACTATATTTTTTCACCTCCACAGATTAAACATTGTTTTTGTCGGCAAAAGAAAGAATTGAACTTGGTTTCTTTTTCTGTGGTATGCTAAAGGAGAAGGTGTACTCAATTAAAATCACAAATGGGACATGACATATATAAGAAATTGTTAGACATATTTGCTGGTTTGCAACATTTGAGAAGCAAAATATTCCTCATATATACAATAAGGCCCCAAACAAAGATATGGAGGTAATACTTGAAGTTTTGGAAAGCATCAAATGTGTCCAAAACGTTTTACAAAGTTTTGTAATAAGGATTTATAGCTGAACGATACTCTGTTAGAAGCTAGACTAATATTGAATAAATAAAAATATTAAATGAGAATCGTGAACGTTATCCAAGTTTTTTTTAAAATAATGTTCCCTATCCGACTCATGTGAGTCACTTTGATGTGTGGCTTCTGTATAAGTGAATTCTGTCAGCGAAAAGTAGATAGCTTACAACAAATTGGGACGCAGGAGATCGTGAAGCAAGTAAAATAAACTACCACTGAATGTACAAAGCTTTGATTTTCATCAAATTTAGTTGATAATATATATACGGAGGGAATTAACAGATTCCTCTATTTTTTATTGTGTTTCTTTAAGACGGTGCTAAAAGATTTATTCGAACAGTTACTGTACGGAATAAGAGGAAATGAGAGCATGAATGAAAAAAAAAAAGATTCGGAATTCGTTACAAGTATGAGATTCATATAAGATCAGGATAAATTGAATAATCTATAAAGTTTTTTTATTTTTAAATCTTTTAAAATTCAGTTTCAGTTTGGTAACTCTTGGGAAATATTGTTATTAACTAAATCTATATTTACTAATCATATATAAACTTTATCTTCTGCTCCACCATACTTAACTATGAAAATGATCGACGGTGAATCGGCTGGCAAAAATCGATTAACACGTCAGGAAAACAAGACCCAGTGGTTAAGAAATGCTTGTATACAAAATTATATGCTATAAGTATGTAATATTTGTGTCAAATCGGATTAATGTAACTTTAAATTTGATAAAGTTTCACAAATAACTTTTTGAAAAATATATATATATATATATATATATATATATATATATATATATATATATTATTTTTCAAGATTTTTAAAACCGAGAAATAACTTTTGTTTAATCATGTGCCAAAATGGCCGATTTTTACCGATTTTCCTAAAAAAATGAATTCCGATCAATATAATTTCTGTTTGTAATACACCACAGAGTATTTTGCTGATTGAAAATGGTAAATTTTAAATCCTTTTAGCTTTCAAATAAAGCTAAAATGAAAGCTTCAAGAAAGCTTTTTCATTCTTTTTTTAAAAAAATAATTTTAAACCTTACGTGTACTGAATTAGTGGAGTTACCTTCTTTCTAACACTTGGAAAAATCTTTATTCACGTGAAATGAATGAATTTTCGCGTGATTAGATTTTTATTAATTTGTACTTGTGTTATATTTATTTATTGCATATTGTATATTTTTTAATTATAAATTTATTATAGTTATATATAATTTATTTTATAAGATAAAATTTTAAAATATTATACTTGCAGTCCAAGTCGGTACCGGCTTTTTAAAATACTTTTTAGCGCGTTTTTTTTTTTGATAATAGAGAAAGAAAGTGTTAAGATGTTAGTGAGTAGAAAGGACAATAAAATGGCATAATTCACGAATCCAGAAGCTGGCGATTGCGCTGGCATTTAGTATTTGGACGATCGTAGGCGGCAGGGAAAAAAGAGGCTGGGAAAGATGAGAATTGCAAGAAAAGAGACTATTTGAATAGAACTTACGCTAGCTGAAAGTCTAATGTTATACGTGTTAAAGGCATCAACTAATTATTGTGCCTTTACAATTTCAAACGGAAATAACATGACTACAGTAGATATGTATGTCTAATGACTATTTCGGGCAAATGACGATGCAACATGAAAATATTCAGACATGTTACCAGGCCTTACAGTAGAAACATTGATGCCACATATTTTTTCTTCAACTATAGTTTCGTACAATACTTAACTTCGGCTAAGAATAATTTTTACTCTTTTCTTTTTTCTTCATACCGCCCATATATATATATATATATATATATATATATATATATATATATATATATATATATATATATAATTCAGCAAAACGCATAACATCAGTAAAGATTTTACAATCATTTTTATCAGATGTTCGAATCAGAGCAGATGTCCCCAGGCTATTAACGGCACAATCATCATAATTCTTTACAAAAACAAATCATCTAAGACAGTTTGCTCAAATTACCAGGGTATCACTTTGCGTTTGATTGCAGGCAAAGCACCCGAGAGAATCCAACTAAAGAAACTCGTCACTCAAATTGCTGAGGGTCACATCCATTTAAACCAATGCGGTTTCAGAGCAAACCGTTTACAACCGATATGATGTGTACCCGAAGGAATATTCAAGAGAAATGCCGCGTACAAGATAACGACGTATACATCAAATTTGTCGACTTGCAGAAGCCGTTTTCTACGGTAAGCAATTGAAGCCTCTGGACATTCTTGAAAATACTGAACTGCACTTCAAAATTTCTCATTATGATCATCCAACCCCGCTAGGCGCAAATCTCACAATTCCTCTAAGAATGTGACTTTTCCTAATGATTCCAAATTGAAAATGGCGTCAAGCAAACTTGCGCGTTGGCTTTCGCATTATTTTTATCATTCTTTTACATGATTCTGAAAGAAAATTCAGACAAAATGAATGATAATAAAAGTGTAAACACCCGCACGCCAAAAATGTCAACTTGTTCCCCATAAAATCTTCGATTCCATGAAGATAACCGCACAGTGTTCATGATCAGAGTGTATTTGGTCGCAGATGACGTTTCTCTCGTCAGTCAAGCTTCTCTGGTCGCTGCTTTGCAAATACCGCAAAACACTTCGGCATAGCATTCAACCATAAAAAGATGTTCATGCTTCAGCGGTTTCTCTTCAGATCAAAAGTATTTGCCTTATCCCGTCTCCATCAACCCAATAACACAAGTGTCTAAGAAGTAGTTTACCTGCCTAGGAAGGTGACTCTACTGAGAAATAAGCGACTGGGCAAGACTAATGAAGCTATTCTAAGACAGCACAAACCTATTTGGAGCAACAGAAACCTCAAAAAACCATCGTGCTGCTGGGGTTTTTAATCCTATACCCGTGATATTTGTGTCTCCTCTACTATCTTTAACATCATTTTAAAAATGTATTGCATTGGAACGACTTTATCACGAAAGATGATCTTCTCGGCTCAGCCAGAGTGGAAAATGTTGAAAGTATACTTTTTTTTAAGGCAATTCACCCTAAACAAGGCTGGAGTGATACTCGCATGCATGGGATTACTTGGGATTGGGAACAAGAGTAAAGAGGCGTGCTTGAGGAAAAGATTCAGAGAAGGACGGAAAAAAGCTCAGGGTGTCAGATGTCGATTGACATTACACTTGAATATTTGGAGATTATAGTCATCGGGGAAGGGAGTTCAACAGACAGGAAGTGTGTGTGAAGAAGCTGTTTGAGAAGAAGAAATGGTTACATTTAACAGTTTTGAGAGTGAAAGGGTGGGTCCAAGATGCCAGCCTGGTAGCTCGTTTAACTTCATGTAGTCCGGGCACCAGCGAAAGTTGCTCGTCATGCTACAAAATATATAAATGCTATGGGCGATAGACGTTGCGAGCATAGAAGACTGTATATGGTCTTCTAAAGATTTCCCTCCTTAGAGAACTAGATTCTGACCAGTGGAAAGGGGTGTATCACTTATAAGACAAGTCGATATAATAGCTAGTTGATAACAACACTCAATTTCTGTCATCTCAATACCCATCAGTGGAAAAGGGAAGACGAAAAGGCGACCTGGTTGTGGAAAATCTGGCAGGAAAACTGAATTAAATTTAAAAAAGGGAAAGAACAAATGTAACTCCGTGAAATCGAAGCTGCTGCCTGTTTACAAACGATTTACTGACGTCGCTTCGGAAATACAAGTCATGATAAAGTAGCCTTGCGACTTAGCATTGTGGGGAAAGAGGCGGCAGAGTGGAAAATATGTCATCTACGGAAAGGATCTTGAACATTAACAATGCTGGAAATTGATTGAGTAATAAGTATTTCACAGCTTATCAACCTTTTACATGTTATTTAAAGCCATAAAAATATTTTTAGATTGTAAGAAATTTTTGACATACTAATGATTTAGTGATACAAATGTGCCATGCGTGATACACACTTAGGCGATCATGTATCTTTCGATACATGACTGACGAGGCAGATATTTTCCTGCAGTAGGTTGCCATTTCTTTCTGCGGTAGACGAGTTGCCATCCAAGGTTATAGAATCCTGTCTGTCCTGTTATTTAACCATAGCTCATGGTGGGGAGGGGAGAATAGGATTCATACCTTTCCCAAGGGTATTAACACGTAATTGAATGTAATGAACTTGAAACAAATTCGAACTCGGCTCTCTGATTCCTCAATATGAGCCGCTATCTATTAGTGATAAAATTCTTACTAATTAACACATAGCTGGGGAAAGAGTTCCATTCATACCTGACCCAAGGGTATTTGCGCGTAAGTGAATATTATGAAAGAAATTGGAATTAACAGTTCCGAGCTATTATCCATTACACAACCCACCCACCCAAGATTGCAGCACCTGGTATTTCAAAGCGGTCACCCATCTCCGTAATGATGAGGCTCGACGTTGTTTAACCTCGGTGATTGTACAGAAACCGGTGTTTCAACGTGATATGACCGAAGACCCGAACACTATCAATGCTGGAAAGTGAGAATAGGTAAGCTTCAGCCTAGATATGTCAACAATACATCAAATCTCTTTCACAAGCTAAAGCGTACCGGGAGTCAAATATTTTCTTATCCAGGATATGATACTTTATGGACGAATGTGCTAATGAAAATATTATTGTTATAAAATAATTTTATTATCCTATTATTGTGGTCAGCACATTCTATCGCTTCTGCAAGTATATGACTGCTTCTATCATTCTCTAACTTGTAATTAGAGCAAAAATAGTGTATTGCTGCCACATCTGGGCCGAAGATGCTTAATCCTCATTCTCCATCCTTGACATTCTTGTGGGAGAAGGCTTATTTTCCAGCTCTCCAATCACTTTCCCACAGTCACAAGCTTATCACTTGTCTATCGCTATAACCACAGTGAATGTTCAGATGAGCTCCATTCTTTAGTTCCATCAGTTTCGGCCTTTACAGCTAGAAAATGCAATGATACTTCCACGAAGTCGAACCAACCCCATTTCCTTCATGATTCAAATAAATTTCCTATAGGGTTGATAATTTCTGAAACAGTATACGCCCTTCTGCTTCTCTGGACACTTTAATCTTGACCTCTTCAAGTCAAATATTCATCGTTGTCTGTCCTTCTTATCTTCGTAATCTTTCCTTATTAACCCGCTCCCTTCTGTTCCTATCCCGCACTTCATTCATCATAACCATTTCTAAGGTAACTCGCTACCTTGAATGGTTCCCGGCCCTTTTATTGGGTGAAATCTAGTCAAAACAGTCAGAGAAGAAAGCAGAATGTTTACTAGATTATATCTAGAGTATTGGGGCAGCAGATAATTATTTAAACATATATTATTAAATACAACAGACAATGAATGTCTATTATGTCTGATCATGAGCCGTTATAATGTTCCAATGTTTGCTTTAAATTCTGGTGAAAATAAAGACAAAAATTGTCCAACATTTGGATCTATTTTTTTTAAGTTGGTCCTGAGCTTTCGGCTCACATGAGTCATCCTCAGAATGGTTATACAGACATGAAACAAGGATATCCACCGTCAAAAACGATATTTTGTGAGCCAAATGCTTAGGACTAATTTGATAATTTTCACCAGAAATTAAAGCAAACATTCGAACATTAAAACGGCTTATGATGATCAGACATAATAAACATTCATTGTCTTTTATACTTAATAATATATACATTATCTACATTATTCGGACTATTGTCCTCATCTTTGTCGCCATATTTATCACAACGTATCGGCCGTTGTACGCTCCGGCCTTCTTCAGGTGGTTGGAAGTTCGAACTGAACCCTTGTTGTGATAAATATGGCGACAAAGATGAGGACAATAGTCCGAATAATGTAAATAATGTACATAATACCTCATCTCAGAAATATAAACAGACTCTTAATAATATATGTTTAGATCATATCTAGTAAACATTCTTCTTTCGCTTTTGATTCTCTTCCTTTCTTTCCTTCGTACATGTAAATGTTCACTAAAGAAATATAAAAATATTTTTGTATTTAAAATTTAAAAGGAAACCAACTTAAAAATCTAGTAAAACTGATCATATAGACTTGACCTTTTAGATCACGTGTCCACATTATCACTATTTTTTTATATCTCCTTCGTGAGACAAACAGTGGTTTAGTACGATCATTTCGTAAACCATTACTAATGAATTAAGTCTCATTGGTTGCTCTATAGATGGGGCCACATGCTAAAGATAGTCTTGACCAGCAAATATACTTTAGTTACCATGGACATAATTTAGAATAGACATAATTTAGAATATACATAATTTATAATATACATTTATTAATTATTTAGTTTATTATATTAATGAAGCTGAACGTGAGTGGATCATTAAGTCAGTAGACTGATACATTTTCGATATGTACAATGCAAAATATTAATAATGTTATACACTGAAGCAAATTTCATCTCTTTCTTATTCACTCTACATGTCAGTCAAGTCTGAGCGCTAAGAAAGCACCCCCACCAAAAAAATGTTGTTCTCTGCGCAAGGTGTATGAGCATAACATCCGGTACACAAAACAAATCCCTTAAAAATAATAATAAACAAAATGAAACATGAAAGAAGTCGATCGTGAAAGTTGCCTTCGGACCGTTCCGTTACCTAATTTCACTCATAAGACTTGGTGTTGCTTTGAGGCATTTTTAAACTTGCTGCATGCTGGGAAGGCATCTCCAAGCCAATATTATTATATTAAATTACACTGACACAAATTTGTAACTAAAATTAAAGCTGAATTAAGATCGTTGAAAGCAGTTGGTAATTGTTTTGGAGTATGCGTGGATGAACAAATAACCAATCCCAAGAAAATGTCCAGAGTTCATTGTCAATATGGTAGGCGTCAGTTTTCTCACAGATGTACTAGTGACAACAGAGATGGATCTCTACAGAAGGATACTGTGAATATAATGGAACTAGCATATGAGCAACGAGGACGTTATAAGGAAAATGGAAACAAAAAGGACACAGGATGAAAATCAGAAAGGGATAGTTGAAATTTCTAAGACACATAATGAAACAAAAAAAAGTCTTGGATAATTTCATCCACATAGGACATACTGAAATTAACCCTAGAACACTCACCGTGGGTATATAGTACCCAGCACAAATTTTCCTATTTTTAATTACAATTTTCAGTACCTGATTTTCTTACCTAAATAATGTTTTTCAGTTCATATTAATGTTAACTCAAAGGACAAAGTTTGAAGTGCCTGCATGTAAAATATTTCAAATAAAGATTTATATTTATTATTTTTTTTGATATTTTCAAAATCGAGTATGATACACCCATGGTTAGTAATGGTGTAATTTTAGTTGGTGGTTAATGTTCTAAGGTTAAGAGAGATAAAGTGAACGAGCGACTAAACTACGTAACGAGATGAATGGAAGAACACGAAACTGGATGAATATTTTTTATGTGCCATGTCCCTTCAGGACGTTGGCGATCATGGCTCTCCACAATATCCTGTGCTTTGCATCTCTTAATAAATTTTCTCTTTTTGTTACCTCTCCTAAACCTTGTCCCGAAATTCATTTGCTCAAGCTCAATAGCTAGGTCAAACGTTATTTTCCTGACCCTCTTGCTTTTAAAATAATCTATGAGTATGACATCTTCTAGCCCCCCTCTTTCCTCTTTATATACGGGGGATAAAATATTGCTAAAAGTTATAATGTATAGGAAGTTATGGAGATCTACGAACAGCCATGCTATGACGGCATATGGCATATAAAGGATGAAGACATCTTCGTAGAGTTAATAGCTTCCATTTTCCGGCATGTAGCATGGATTATTATTCGCGTTAAACAATTTTCTCTTAAAATAGCGTTTTAAAATAAATGATAAACACAATATCAAAGTATTACTTTCAATTCAATTATTTTAATGACTCTTCCAGTGCAATACATATTAAAAGGATAAACTATGAAAACGTGTCAAAGAAATTATAGCTCTCATTTTAATAATCAAGCCAAAAATAACCTGATTTTTTATGTTCTTTCTTTCTTTTTAAGCTATTTTCTGAACATCGACGGCTTGCGGTTTCTATTCGCCATTTGTTTCTTTATTGGATTCTTTCCTTGCCTTCCCAAATTCTTTTATGATTCTCTTCACCAATCTCTTTACTTTCAATCTTTCATTTTAAAACGTCCTTTCACTAAACGTTGCGCTTATTTTTTTTCCCCGGTAATGTTATGTTTTTCATCTTCGTCATATGAGTCAGCGTCAATACTTTTTTTCTCCATCTTTTCTTTTATTGTGTTTATAAAGGGTGAACTCTCTCTGAACTCGTTCGCGCCTAGACGAAAACATTTTTTATAACAAACACGTGTCTATACAGGCATATACAAGCAGGGACAACCGATGCGCATGTAATAATGGAAAACACAGTCTATCTATCTATCTATCTATCTATCTATCTATCTATCTATCTATCTATCTATCTATCTATCTATCTATCTATCTAAGTCTCCTCATTATCTATCTATCTATCTATCTATCTATCTATCTATCTATCTATCTATCTATCTATCTATCTATCCCAGTCTCCTCATTATCTATCTATCTATCTATCTATCTATCTATCTATCTATCTATCTATCTATTTAATTCTTTTTGTGGTAGTTGATTCCATGTGTTTTCCATCGTTTTGTCTGTGATTCCTTTTTATTCATATTATTAGTATATGATTATGCAAAATTAAATTATGCATCCATAGACGCAGGGAAACACAGTGAACTTAAATTGTAATGTGATGAGAGAGATCATCTCTAATATCTGTTGATAGAAAATTCGAGCGATACACACGAAATTTCAATAGAAGAATATTTGTTAAATATTATATGTTGGGTGCAATTTGGCAGACGTTCTTCTGCAACTTTGGTAAAAAAAAAATGGCGAAAAACTTTTGTTAAAACATTTTTATGAATTTAGATCATTTTCCTTGGTTCCGATGCACATTTAAATACAAATTGTCCAATGTCTGAGTAATTTGCCTTTTATTATGACAGAGTTTTAATTTCTCGGTTTCATCATTAATGCCTCCAGTATTTATATAATGAAAGCATTAAGCATAAAACAAAAAAATTACCCAAGAGCAATAGAGATTTATCACATTTAGGAATACGATAACACGAACTGTCAAGTGTCGACGTAAATATACAATATAGCTACAAAGCTCTTTAATGATAAAGTACTGTAACCTTACACATTTCTGTACAAAATCAGAAAAATGGTCTGAAACATAAAATAGAGAAAAAAATTATTTGCTTTTTAACCAGTCTTGTATAAATTATCTATCTATCTATCTATCTATCTATCTATCTATCTATCTATCTATCTGTAATAATAATAATAATAATAATAATAATAATAATAATAATTAATGTATTTCATTTTTTTAACCGACATTTTTAGTACTTTCAGTATTTGAGTAAACGTTCCTTATATCTTAAATAATATTAAAATTATTTTCAGCATTTCGTCTACTGCCCGGCGTATTCGACAAAAGTCAATAAAGAATTTTCATAAATCCACCCCACCTACATCTCCAAAAGATTCTCTCTGTCACTCATCCTCATACTTACACTTTCTCTAAATTCTGTTTTGATTTCCGGAGTTGTTTTTTTCTGTTTTTTTCTGTTTTCATTTTGAATTTGTAGGTCTGATGATTTGGATCGTATTTACGATTCCAATGGAATAAATTATGACCATGGAATATTAGTGTTTAAGCCTTTTTATTATATCCTTACTCTGTCCTAGACATTGAGTTCTACCTGGATCCTTCCTCTTGGAAAATTTTTCTGAAAATATACATGTATGGGAATTTTTTAGATATATTTTTCATATGTATGTATATTTTCCACTAATATTATCTATATATATATATATATATATATATATATATATATATATATATATATATATATATATATGTATGTGTGTGTGTGTGTGTATAAAGATAGAGAACGGAAGGGAGAGAGAGAACAAAGAGAGAGTAATAACACATGATGTCGTATCATAAGTCGATAACTTCCTTTCAAATACGAAAATAAAGTTAACAAAGCAGATATCGAATTCGAATGATGTCAGCGAGAGAGATGTACATTTATTCAAAATGGTAGATGTGCGCGGCTGAGCTGTGAGAATTTCCGTGACTCAGTGGTATAACATACATCTCGCATAAAGGTGCCTTTCCTCAATCTGGCGGCATCACGTTCGATCACCAATGAAACTACAAATTTGTATATTGATATTTTCGATTGTACTGACGTTAATTACAAAATTCTAAAAAAACGCATGGGTATAGACTAAGAACGTGAGAGAGAGGAGGGAAAGACTAGAAAATAATTGAGAGAAGGATAATACTTTATAGATAATGATTTATAGAATGATAATATTTTATAAATAATACTTTATATATATTGTTGTAGAGTAAGTGATGAGTTTTACACGGTTACTAAGGTGTGTCCTGGCTTCTCGGTTTTATCGGTCAGGGCATTGGATGTGATAATTAAAGTGACAGCTTTAATATGCATGCGCGTTTATTCAATGTTAATGTATTTTTGAATAATAATATCATTAAGGATATTATAAATTCTTTATTTATTGACACTAAATTCGTATGTAAAACTAAGAAGTTACTTTCAAAGGTTTGCTTAATTAGTTTTTCAACATATTTTGCATGAAGTAAAATGTCGTCGATGAACCGGAAATATCTAGAGAGGCCATAGTTTTAATAAAATCTTTTCAATTTTGGACCATATAATAATTTCATAAAGTTGGTCATAGAAATGATCTTATCGCTATGGAATCATGTTTTGCGTATAAAATTCTTTGGTTAATCATAAAAGTGAATGTATGGTATATGCTGAGAATCTTGGAGAATATTGCCGTATTTTACAACTTATAAGACGCACTGATGCATTATACGCCTCCACCCAAAGTTGAAGGAAGAAATCGGAAAAAAAAAAGTTTCCTTGTATTTCGTAATTCTCCCAAATATTCCCAATTTTATTGACTGAATAACATATCCCTGGTCAAAATCTTAAGACCAGATACAAAAGGGATATAAAAAAATAAAAAAATTTTTCACTTTAATAAAATATATTTGCGAAACATTTACATTTAATTAGAAAATGTAGTTTATCAGCAAAAACGTGAAAATTTTAAGCTTTTAATTGATTAATTTAAACAAACATTGAAAAAAAGGATTTTTTGTTTGGTCATAAAAATAAAAACATATGTGAAAAAAACAAATTACTTGACAAAACTTTTAGAAATGGTGTGCTCATAGCTTCAGGCGTGTAGACATCTACTTAACTCGTTTGCAGAATTAAATTTCAGATTTTAAAATGGTAAAAAATGGGTAAAATACTAACAAAGTTCGAACAGGGCAGGATTGTTGAACTTCAAAGACGTGGTCTTTCGCAACGAGCCATTGCAAATGAAATTGAACGTAGCAGAACTGTCATTGTTAACTTCATTAAAAATCCAGATGCGTATGATTCTAAAAAATGAAGCGGTCGCCCCAATAAAATCTCATCATCTCCAGACAGATACTGGTAGTGCTCGAGCTAGGGTTTCTGAGGGCGCCGATGACGTAACCATCTTCGTGTCGTGCCGCAGCGACATTAAGGCGGTGCAGAATTTGCTTGAACGGTACGAGAAGCTAACGGGGGGGGGGGGCATTATTTAACCGTAACAAGTCTTCCGGCTTGCGGTTAGGTGCCTGAAGGGGGTCACGCTTCCGGGGCTCTTCAGCTAGAATGAAGGACCCGTCCGCATCCTTGGGGCGTGGTTCGGGCCTGGACTCCTGTTGAAGAAGAATTGGTCAGAAGTACAGTCAAAGGTCGGATCGTCGGTTCGGACCTGGCTTCGAAGGGGTTTGTCTTTAAAGGGTAGGGCTGAGGCGAGTGCCATATACGTCTTGCTCCTCATCCTTTACCGCTTGGCTCTACTTCCTCTTTGCAGGCCCTTATGGAGGCGATCAAGCTTTTGCTGACCATAGGGTCTATAAAGAAGTCTGTTACCAGCGTCCGTGTCATGGGGAGGGGCTGGGATAGCCACACCTGGCGAGTCATCGCCATGCTTTCATCCCTTTACCCTTCAGCGTTGTGCCACAATTTTGTATTTTTAAAAAATAAATATATTTCTATTTTATTTTCTATACTATACGGATCGCATTTCTACTCTGTCCTCGATTACTATATATATATCTATTCTCTACTCTATTCGCTATACTATTTCTCTATTCGGATCACTATACGGGTTACTATTTGAGCAAGTACTATTAGTAAGTGTGATATTAGAAGGCGTCTAACACCAGTATTGTTCAACGGCGTACTATAGTTGTATCTACGATTACAAAGTACCTACTACAACGAGCATTACGAAAATGACGTGTATTGGTTGAAATCCCAATACAAAGTAAATACTTTACTATAATAATATCAAGAACATCATTAAAAAGAACATTGTTAAATAGATTTCCAACAATCTTTGAATGTAGCACTCACACTGTGGTCATTTTACAAGGGAAGCTGGTAAAATCGAGTGTTAAGCAGTGAAGCATTTATATTGTTAGAATCGGAAATTTGAACTGAATGTGAGTTCACACGCTAAAATTTGTGTACATATAGGCGGAATGCGTTAAATGCATTTGAACTGTTAGGGAATCTTTACCATTTGACGCTTAGATATATATTTTCCAGTCATTGCACGTTGGGTTCGAACTTTGGAATATGAACAACAGAAATTTCATACTCGCTGTTTCCCGATTTTCTATATAATTTTCTTTTGGCCGTGAGACACACAATTGAATATTTAAGTTCAGTCACAGGAGGTTTATCTTTCCACGCAATACTTTTTTCGGTAGAGGCTAAAGTCATTACCTGGCAAACTCAGCAGAAATATCTGGACGATTTTAAACCTCAGGTCTTATTTAAGTGTCTTCTTTTTAAATCGGCTTTAAATCTTATTTAGGTGTCTTCTTTTTAAATCGGCTTTTAATCTTATTTAAGTGTCTTCTTTTTAAATCGGCTTTAAATCTTATTTAAGTGTCTTCTTTTTAAATCGGCTTTTAATCTTATTTAGGTGTCTTCTTTTTAAATCGGCTTTAAATCTTATTTAAGTGTCTTCTTTTTAAATCGGCTTTAAATCTTATTTAAGTGTCTTCTTTTTAAATTCTGTTGATTGAGCATTCGGAAAAATCTCGCATTTTTCTTCAAATTACACGTAACATAACGTAAAATCTCGATACCCACTTTTACAAGTTTTCTATCTGACGTTAATAACAAGACACAGGATATCGCATACGAAAGCTGATTATGAAGAAGTGATAATAGAACGGCGAAATCTTGCATACACTAATTTAAACTCTTTGTATTAATAAATTTATTGTTTACTTTCAGGTAAACTGACACTTGACTGTTCACAGAAGATTTCAAAAGAATCAAGTACCGACTTTTCTTGAAAATGAACAAAATTAGGCATCATGGTTTTATCATATATCTATAAGAAAAAAGGTTAAGTCCTCAAGGATATACATGTTGATCAGATTGATACATTAGATGTCGCTCCAGCCTTATCAACAGTGCAAAAGTGGGCAGCTGAATTTAGGAGGGGGTAGTCTTGAAGATGCCCCGAAGTCTGGACGTCATACAACCGCGGCCACCTAGGAACACATTGATCTCACTGTTCGGTTCTAAGAACTAAACTACTGGTTTACTGGATTCATATACGTAAAAAACGACGGAAATACCCACTTTGATCTCTCAATATATATATATATATATATATATATATATATATATATATATTGATCTCTGCGTGTATATATGTATGGGTTATGGTGGACTCTCACGTCGTATTCAACGTATGAGGGTCAAGCTCGGAACCATTAGCCAGACACGATCACATATGATTTGATTATTGTGTTGAAGGCTTTGTGCAGAACCAACCACACATTTTGAAGGGTCGAATACAGAGACCTGGTGCACAACGTGCCACAATGTCCCCAAACGAACCTCCGCATTCAGAGTTGCCCTCCTAGATCAATTGCCATCCATGGCTATAGAACGCAATCTGTCCTGCTATTTACCCATAGCTGGATGGAGAACAGGCTTTAAAAGGTATTAATCATATATATATATATATACATACATATATATATATATATATATATATATATATATATATATATATATATATATGTGTGTGTGTGTGTGTCTTAGAAAGGGTTTCTCGTATCTTGCTTAACGGACTTTCCATATATATATACCGTGCATACTTTTACACCATTATTCCGTTAGTATCGATATTTGGGCTTATATAAATCAATGCGGACTTTTTTCATCAACAGATTTAAATAGAAATGCATGTTTTTGATCGTTCCTATATGAGTGTAGCACATTCTCAATGAACTTGTATTTGTACAAATGTGACTTCCTGCTGTGTGTTTGTGTATCCATTATGGTCTTCGCTCATGCGCACAAATCAACTCACCCAATAAATCCATGTGTAAACGTGACAGAAATTGTTGTTGCGTGCTCAATCGTGCGTGCATATACCGTTGAGCGGACGCCTTCATGCATGAGACTGATTTTTTTTTCATTCCTGAGTGTGAAAAGCAAAAAGTAAACACTTATGATATTTGGATATTAGGGAATTTAGAAGCACGTAAACAATATGAGTGTGCTTCTTTTCTTTAAAATCGATTATTTTTTTCTTCCCCAGCTCACCAAAAAATGCTTTTCTTAAATTTATAATTGATTTTGTATTTTTCTACTCTTTCTCCTATTACGCCTATCTCCAGCACAATTATCTATCTATCTATCTATCTATCTATCTATCTATCTATCTATCTATCTATCTATCTATCTATCTATCTATCTACACACACATACATACATACATATA